TTTTTTAACCATTAAGTCATTTCTATCTAATGCTCCTGTTATGGCTGCACCAAATTTCAGCAAGCCCTTTAAACTTGCCATTGATGCTAGCAACTTAGCCATTGGCTCAGTCCTATTTCAAGAAGACAACATGGGAATTGACCATCCCATTGCCTTTTTTTCCAGGAAGTTAAATGAAAACCAAAAGAATTATTCTACTATTGAAAAAGAGGCTTTAGCTTTGGTTTTGTCATTACAACATTTTGAAGTCTATGTCTCTTCTTCAACCAATCCAGTCAGAGTGTTTTCTGACCATGATCCCCTGAAATTTACCTCTAAGTTAGGACAGACAAATCAAAGAATATTGAGATGGTGCTTATATTTCCAAAATTTTAATCTGGAAATTTCACACATTAAGGGTAGTGATAATGTTGTGGCTGATTGTTTGTCAAGGATGTAAAATCTTGTTACACACATTGATCATGTGACATGCTTTGTGGTTCATTGGGACCATAAACAGGTTTTGTTTGAGTGTCACTCATTTGAAAATGAGTGGTATGAGTTTTGAATTTTTTTCAAAATTCCAATCCTGTTGAATATTTTGTTTATTTTCAGGTGAACCTTAATTAAAGGTGGTTTTTGATTATATGTAATCTTTTATAATAATATGTCTCATATGGCTCCATTGATATTGTAGCTAGTCATTGAAATAAAGGTCTTACCCTGGCGGGTTTACCACTTTTAATATTCTCATGGAAAAATTGTAATTCCCCTTTTTGAGGGATTTTGATGTATAATTACTTTTTGAAGGGTTACTCCCCTTTCACCAATTGTAAAAGTTGGAGTTACTTCCCTTTTATGTTCAGGGATATTTTCATCTGGTATTATGATTTTGATTGCCTACATTTGTAAAACATTTTTGTTATTTCATTGCCAGATTGGTTCCTTATGTATGTTTTTGTGGAACCTATCTGTCACTTCCAAAAAGGGAGGGGATGTGACCTACTTAGGTCGAGTCATTTTTATTTTGACATTGTATAATTCCTTATATGGAATGATGGTGTAACACCTGGGGTTTTTCCACTGACTTATTAAGGTGTCTGAGACATAGAAATTTTCCATTAAAATCTGATTGAATGATTCTGATCAGATGATTATCCCAACCAATGGCGACATGAGTTGAGGATAACCTCCCCTGTCACAGAAGTCTTTAATTGCACTGCACACTCGCAACACGAGGCAGTTTTTTCTTGACCTGGCAGTCTACGAGGCCGTTTTACCTTGTTCAGGCAGCCGTCCATATTGTCCGGCTATAGACTCTGACCATTTGAACGTGAGAGTACTTAAGACCTGTGTGTGCCTTGCTTTCTTCAGTTGATTTAGTCTTCTAGTTTAATATTACTTGTCGCTAAGTAAATTCTGAAGCTACAGCAGTGTTGTGTGGCCTGTAGCTGTTTTTTAGACAGTGTAGAAATCTGTGATAGTGATTTTTCCTACATTTTGTAAGTTGTGTTTTGATATTTTATACATTAAATATTTTATCTAATTCATCTTTGTGTTCTGCCACAACTGAGTTCGCTGATTAAAAAGTCGTATGTAGATTGGATGAGTGTTAATTACAATAGTACCACTAGCTTCCCTAGACATTAAATTCGAGCCCTAGTGGGTCGTTGTGTTAAGTGTTCATCCACTTAGGCCGTAAGGCATTTGCATATGACCCCGAAAAAAGAATCCGGGGACGTTCTCCTTCTATTTAGCTGATAGATAGGTTAACGTTACACTACCAATACTTATTAGAAAAATTAAAACCAAATTATATACATTATCAGTCAAAACAATACCATATAAAATGCAAACGCTGATTAATAGACTTAAAATTAAGGGACTTAAATGATTTCGTTAAAACCCCGGCTGTTCAATGGTAGTAGTGTTGCTTTTCCTTTTCGAAAACACCTATTTCGGCTTATCATGGGTCTGACCAGACTAGCCCTTCAGGTGATGAGAAGACAGAAACAGATGAACTCTACTTCACCTGCTCTGTGTCCCGCCAAGTCCCGATAGGCAACTTTATCATTTAAATTTTTTTTAAAATTGGAAAAAAAAATCAACATTGACGTTCAGTGTCTCGAACCAGTACCATGGTAACTATTATATTATCATCTCAGCTATTTAGGAACTTCAGCTTAGGTACAGAATAAATGGAGTACTTTACTTAGATTTAGACTAAGTCAGCGTAAGAAACTTTACGCCAGGGGTTCCCAACCTTTTTTAACTCTAGAGCACATTCTAAAATATCGTTAGGGTGGCGGGCACCACCTATTTTAAATCGACAAACTCCTTGCAAAGGCGTAGCGACCCTTCCCGTCACCCGGGGACAAAACTTTCGATTTGCACCCCCCCCCTCAAACTTTCGATTTGCACCACCCCCCCCCCCCTCAAACTTTGGATTTGCACCCCCCCCCCCCCTCAAACTTTCGATTTGCACACCCCCCCCCCCCCCTCAAACTTTCGACTTCCATCACCTTCAACCTTTCAATGATGTTTACGAAAAAAATTCTGTCTCTGACGAATAGTGAGAGGCGGGCACATACGAATCGTTCGGCGGGCACCATGGCGCCCGCGGGCACGGGGTTGGGAACCCCTGCTTTACGCGAATAGGCCCTATTATTTCAAATGAAATTTCATCCCAAATTATCCAATTCCATAGATAAACACACAAAGATTTATATAAAATAATTAAGGCCTCAAATAAAGAAACTCATTATTGGTATAGAATCTAGTCTAGATCTAGAATATACGGCTGGTTTTTAGTCTAGTTTTTTCGTAACTCTAGATCTAGATCTAGAATCAAAATAGATAAATCAAATTCTATAGTTTAAGCCGAGAAAACTGTATAGATTTCATTGCGTACCTCTTAACAAGTAGATTATCAAATTTGAATGAAAATGCTCATTTCTTTATATTCTAAAATTCGAAGATGACACCATTAGTTTTGTGTTCTTTCCGCATTTTAAACTTGTGACATGTGACGTCATTGTTTTGTGTTTTTTTTTTTTGCTTTCATGTCACGACAATAAACAATTTATATAGAAACGTTTTTCTACATTAGAATATGCCTTTATTTTACAAGATTTTATTAACTTGCTTCCTCTGTCTGTCTGTCTAGATCGAAATGCAGGAGCGAAAATTCGGACTTCTACTTGACCGATACGATTCACATTTGGCAGGTGGTTCAAAACACGAAGACAATGCAATCAGGAATCAAATTTGACTTAATTGGATGCCTAGTTAATTTTTTATGAATAAATTAAAATTTAGACCGAATTAGTAGGCATGTCTATTCAACCACAGCACACGCGTCGTCACGTTCAATAGCTGCGCCATCACGTTCAATGGCTGCGCCATCACGTTCGGTAGGCGCGCAATGGTTTTTAGTCATGTAACTCTATTGTAAATAAAACATGTAAAGTACTGAAAAAAAAATGTTTTAATAACAAGCTTTTATGTAATAATGCACTAAAAAGGAGAAAATAAATTATGCACTACTATTTAAATAACTATAAAGAAAAGCGTGGGTCACTTTAGTATCTATTGGATACCTTTACTAATATTTAGGAAGAGACCCATGCTTTTCTTTATAGTAATTCTAATAGTAGTGTATAATTTATTTTCTACTTTTTAGTGCATTATTACATAAAAACTTGTTGTTAAAACATTTTTTAAGGACATTTTTTTTATTTTCCGTCCCTAAAGAAAATGTAGGTCATACATAAAAATTTATTTATTTTTTATATTATTTTCAACAAAAGTCCGTATCTTTAAGTTCACCATATATCGCTGATCATACTAATAACATTGCCAAAAAATAGGCAGACAGAGAGAGTGTCATGGACAGAAGTGCGCACATGGGCTCTTATATATTAGGATTAAATAAAAGGTCAAAAATAAATATTTTTTTTAAATTTGTAATGATGAAGTACTATTTAAATAAATAAAAATAAAAGAGTGGGTCGCTTCTTAAATTATAGTAAAGGTGTCCAATATATAATATAACAAGCCACGCTTTTATTTTTGCAATCTTTTATTTTTGCAAGCTTTTATTTTTGTAAGCTTTTATTTTGTTCGCAAAATCTGTGGGTTTGTGGCAAATATTGTAACTCAATTTGACCCACTCTAATGCAACGGTTTGGTTTACACTATCAAGATACGTTCCACTTCAATCTGTTTTTTTTAAATTTAATTAGATGTTTAATTAAGACAGAACAAATTAAGTTAACGTTTACGAAACTAAGGGGAGATAACAAAATTAAATTATTCGTTAAATTACCAAGTTGATGAAGTTAAGATGAAGAAATGAACTATTTAATTTAAATATATAGATCTAAGCATAAATGTAGAAAAACCATTACCCGCTATACATTTTGGTTTTTATTTTTCATAATGGTAATCTAATATTATGTTGAATGTATTTAAGTCAACATTAAGCCACCCTTAGCCCCCCCCCTCCCTCCCCACCTTTGCAGGTATTTAAGAAAATGGACTTTCTTATGAACTACCCCCACCCCTCTCGTCTTTCCCGCTGGACTTTATACATAGATGTCCCGCAGTAACTGGCCGAGAGTTCAAGTCGAAGAAGCATTAGAGTGGTTTAAAGCATAGGGACTCTGCAGCCCCGTTTGGCTTTATGTGATCTAAGAATATACGAGAAAAATACAACTTTATTTGAGCGTTGTGATTAGTTTTGCCTCCTAATCTTCATGTTTCCTGTTTTTGACACCAAGAGGAAGTGAAAATTAGCGAATTAACTCAGTAGAAATATTTAAATTACACTTAAAAAAAAATACTAAATTGAAATCGCCAGTTAAACCATCATCGTATTTATGCTTACTCACTCGATTCGACGATAAAATAACATGCTTAAAACTGTGGTATAAGATTAAACAAGATTATAATATGTGGTGTAAGATTAAGCAAGATTTTATGATGTGGTGTAAGATTATATTCAGAGTAGTTGCACTTACATTATCCAGGTACCAACCAGGGTCAGTACCACCGTTGTCATGTCCAATCTCAATAAATTGAATTCGTCCGACGTTTTCGTCATTTACCTGTAGTAACATTTTCAAAACAATTATTCTACACGTATCAAAACCAAGCAAATGTGGGGTGATTTCTTAATTGAATAGATTATTATTCAATGAAAAAAATGATTTAAGACAAAGAAAAGACTTAAATAAAGAATTATTTCATAACCATCCAAATTCTTGGCTAGAATCTCTATGACTATCCTGTAGGTTTTTTTTTATAACTTTTTTTTCTTGTCACAAATAATGCATCATAAAATGATGACCTTAATAAAAGTGTCCACGTCTCCTCTATCAAAGCTGCCGGGTAAGTAATGTCTTTTTGTCGAACCACTAGAGCCAAAAATGGTTATGAAAACTGAAGCGTCGGTGCCGGCATTATCTACATCACCAGTTTTTATAGTTATCTTGTATTCGATGTCTTTCGAGGATCCTGAATAAAACAAGAAAGATTACGCATCTGTGTGTAGTGTGGGAGAATTAAATGTAACTTCATCAGGTAAGGTAGGCTACTTTTGACACGATATTGTGGGACATTTTTTATGGGGCCCGCGCTGTGTTTTTATGCAATCAAACAAATTATAGATATTAGTATGTCCGAATCATTTCACACTTAAAAACTTCTATCAACTCCAAAAGCTAACTCTTCTAATGACAAATATCTTTCAATAACTACCCTACTCCAAAACTAATCCTTGGCAAACTATTATGTAAACTGTTCTACTCTAATACCAATTCTCAACTGCATTGTATTTGACTATTTGAAACAGCATTTCCTAAACAGTTCTCATAATATTATTGAAATCAGTGAAATCTTCATCTTTAAAACATCAACCTTGATAAACATCAGCCCGTGTAACATTAACCTTCTTGACCAGTGACTTGTCTCCGTCGTCGGCAGCGATCCAGTTATTGAAGCTGAACAGGTAATGAGTGAAGCCAGGCTTCTGCGATATGAATACAGAACTTAGTTATTTTTAAAGGATTGAAGTATTGCTTGACAAAAACAGAAATATATAATCCTCTAGAATAATAATAATGGACGAAATGGTCTAGTAGAGAGCTAGACTGCTAACCCGTAAATCTCGAGTTCGAATCCGTGTTCAAGTCAGTAGACCGTCCCTGAGTCCACCCAATTCTGATGGGTACCTAACTCACGTTAGGAAAAGAAAATGCGGCTGGGCATAGTGCTGACGACCACAGGTGAACTCTACTTCACTTGCCCAATAGACCGTCCGGTTTGGAAGGGGAACTTCACAAGACTACTAACGTCGGCGTTTTTCAGACAGTGCCAAATATGGACGTTTTACAATTTAATACGTTTTTACAGACATATATACGTAGTACACACTAAAACATACGAACGTCCTACAGATATATGTATGTCATCACATACAATTATGTGCATAGAATTAAAAAGACCTTGAACTTCTTGGATTCTTTAATTTTAAAAACGCAAGTTAAGAAAATACTCTTTAAAAAAAACTCACAAAGTTGTTGTCACTTATAGCGGCTACTGGCTGATCTATTGTAACCTAAGAGAATCATTGGGAAAAAAGTATTGATTAATAAAGCTCAGTATCAACAAAAAAAATTACATAGAATTTTATTGCTTTCTGTTGGCCAGTTGGCATATACATTTCGTAAAGATAAGATTTTATATAATAACTAGCCAACGGTACCCGTTATACGTGAATTATAGGCTTATATATTTTAATGCTATACTTGTTTGAGATTTTTTTAAATAAAAATACTATTGGTCTAAACGCTAAATGCTTTACTACACATTGAACTATATTAGTAACATAGACTACCAATACTTATTAGAAAAATTAAAACCAAATTATATACATTATCAGTCAAAACAACACCATATTAAATGCAAACGCTGATTAAAAGACTTAAAATTAAGGGACTTAAATGATTTCGTAAAACCCCGGCTGTTCAATGGTAGTTATGTTGCTTTTCCTTTTCAAAAACACCTATTTTTGGCTGAGCATGGGTCTGACCAGACTAGCCTTTCATATGAGGAGAAGACATAAACAGATGAACTCTACTTCACCTGCTCTGTGTCCCGCCAAGTCCCGATAGGCAACTTTATCATTTAAATCTAAAAAAAAAAAAATTGAAAAAAAAAATCAACATTGACGTTCAGTGTCTCGAACCCGTACCATGGTAACTATTATACTATCATCTCAGCTATTTAGGAACTTCAGCTTAGGTACAGAATAAGTGAAGTACTTTACGTAGATTTAGACTAAGTCAGGGTAAGAAACTTGACGCGAATAGGCCCTATTATTTCAAATGAAATTTCATCCCAAATTATCCAATTCCATAGATAAACACACAAAGATTTATATAAAATAATTAAGGCCTCAAATAAAGAAACTCATTATTGATATAGAATCTAGTCTAGATCTAGAATATACGGCTGGTTTAAGTCTAGTTTTTTTGTAATTCTAGATCTAGATCTAGAATCAAAATAGATAAATCAAATTCTATAGTTTAAGCCGAGAAAACTGTATACATTTCATTGCGTACCTCCTAATAAGTAGATTATCAAATTTGAATGAAAATGCTCATTTCTTTACATTCTTAAATTCGAAGATGACGCCATTAGTTTTGTGTTCTTTCCGCATTTTAAACTTGTGACATGTGACGTCATTGTTTTTTTTTTTTTTTTTTTTTTTTTGCTTTCATGTCACGACAATAAACACTTTATATAGAAATGTGTTTCTACATTAGAATATGCCTTTATTTTTATTATCCTTCTTTAAAGAAAATTTAGGTCATACATAAAAGTTTATAGTCCACCATATTACTTTCAACAAAAGTCCGTATCTTTAAGTTCTCCATATATCGCTGATCATACTGATAACGTTGCCAAAAAATATTTCGGACAGAGAGAGAGTGTGTCATGGACAGAAGTGCGCACATGGGCTCTTATATATTAGGATTAAATAAAAGGACAAAAATAAATAATTTTCTTTAAATATGTAATGATGAAGTACTATTTAAATAAATAAAAATAAAAGAGTGGGTCGCTTCTTAAATTCTAGTAAAGGTGTCCAATATATAATATAACAAGCCACGCTTTTATTTTTGCAAGCTTTTATTTTTGCAAGCTTTTATTTTGTTCGCAAAATCTGTGGGTTTGTGGCAAATATTGTAACTCAATTTGAACTACTCTAATGCAACGGTTTGGTTTACACTATCAAGATACGTTCCACTTCAATCTGTTTTTTTAAATTTAATTAGATGTTTAATTAAGACAGTACAAATTAAGTTAACAGTTACGTTACTAAGGGGAGATAACAAAATTAAATTATTCGTTAAATTACCAAGTTGATGAAGTTAAGATGAAGAAATGAACTATTTAATTTAAATATACGAGCCGGCCCGCGGCATAACATACGCCGCTATTTAGTTGTTTCTAATTTTCAATAATTCATAATTTGTGAATTCGACAGTACCAACGCTGACACTGAAAATATTTCTTTAAAACACTATAAGTAGCTTGTTAAGGACCATAACCCCTCCCCCCCTTCCTCCCCCCCCCCCCCCCCCACCCCCTACGTTTAAAATCGTTGGCTCTGCTTGTAAACATTTAGAGTGAACACAGCTCACTAAAACCATGTATGGGTGGGGAGGTAGGGAGAGCGTTTGCAGCTTGTTTTCTAACGGCGCGAAGAGGAGAATTATATATATAGATAGATCTAAGCATAAATGTAGAAAAACCATTACCCGCTATACATTTTGGTTGTTATTTTTCATAATGGTAATCTAATATTATGTTGAATGTGTTTAAGTCAACATTAAGCCACCCTTAGCCCCCCCCCCCCTCCCTCCCCACCTTTGCAGGTATTTAAGAAAATGGACTTTCTTATGAACTACACCCACCCCTCTCGTCTTTCCCGCTGGACTTTATACATAGATGTCCCGCAGTAACTGGCCGAGAGTTCAAGTCGAAGAAGCATTAGAGTGGTTTAAAGCATAGGGACTCTGCAGCCCCGTTTGGCTTTATGTGATCTAAGAATATACGAGAAAAATACAACTTTATTTGAGCGTTGTGATTGGTTTTGCCTCCTAATCTTCATGTTTCCTTTATTTTAAACCAAGAGGAAGTCAAAATAAGCTAATTAACTCAATAGAATTATTTGGAAAAATTTAAATTACACCTTTTTTAAAAAAAAAATTACTAAATTGAAATTTCCAGTGAAACCATCATCGTATTTATGCTTACACACTCGATTTGACGATAAAATAACATGCTTAAGGGGATATGCGCGGAAAAAAATCACAAAATTTCTTGTTTTTCGTCATGATGGGTTTCTTGCACTTTTGGATACTTTGTCCATTTTTGTATATAGAAAATAATAACTTTAAAGAGAAAAAAATATTTTATGTGTTTAAATTACGATTTTTATGACCCTATTAATTAAAAAATAATCAATTTTTCCCAATCTTACAAGCTCTCTGTGAAAAGTTTTATATCCGTCATTATATTGTATTTGATATCATTGGAAAGCTGGATTTCTCATGTATCTAATAAACTTAATTTCCTACATCTCGGAAACACCCCAAAGCTTACAATCGGCTTTGCAGTTTACACAGATATGGTACTTTCCTGACCTAGTTTTCGTTACTTTTGGCTGTTTTTCTCAGTTCGCAGGTTTTTAACACTAAAAAGCCTACTACTTTTTTATTTATTAAACAATGCCAACCATATTTTCAGTAAATGTTCTTGATGCGAAAATACAACTTTTGTCACGAGGGAATTGTGATTGCTTTCATAGAAAAAAAGTATTTGGTAATTAATATGCACATTTTGAAACTTTTGAATACTAAAAAGGGTTCGATTTTTTAGACCTTGTAAAATTCTTACTAGTAATTATTTCAAAAAGTTGTCGTGACAAAAGTTTTAATATATACTGAAATATAAGCAGTTTAAATTTGATTGCTATAGGTGCATAAATAAAAAAGCCTTAGTATTTTTAAAAGTACCGAAAAAATTCAAAATGGCGGAGGTTTTTTGGGTTTCCATGACAACCAAAATTGTTTTCGACCCTCTTTTTTGCTGTTTAATACTTACTTTTATATGCCAAATATGATAAAAGTATTCAAAAGGCTTTAGATCTTAAACTGTAAAAAATAGAAAAAAACATAGCATATCCCCTTAAAGCTGTGGTATAAGATTAAACAAGATTATAATATGTGGTGTAAGATTAAGCAAGATTTTATGCTGTCGTGTAAGATTATATTCAGAATACTTGCACTTACATAATCCAGGTACCAACCAGGCTTAGTACCACCGTTGTCATGTCCAATCTCAATAGATTGAATTTGTCCGACGTTTTCGTCATTAACCTGTAGTAATATTTTCAAAACAATTATTCTACACGTATCCAAACCAAGCAAATGTGGGGTGATCTCTTAATTGAATAGATTATTATTCAATGAAAAAAATGATTTAAGACAAAGAAAAGACTTAAATAAAGAATTATTTCATAACCATCCAAATTCTTGGCTAGAATCTCTATGATTTTCCTGTGGTTTTTTTTTAACTTTTTTTTTCTTGTCACAAATAATGCATCATAAAATGATGACCTTAATAAAAGTGTCCACGTCTCCTCTTTCAAAGCTGCCAGGTAAGTAATGTTTTTTTGTCGAACCACTAGAGCCAAAAATGGTTATGAAAACTGAAGCGTCGGTGCCGGCAGTATCTACATCACCAGTTTTTATAGTTATCTTGTAGTCGATGGTTTTCGAGAATCCTGAACAAAACAAGATAGATTACGCATCTGTGTGTAGTGTGGCAGAATTAAATGTAACTCCACCAGGTATGGTAGGCTACTTTTGACACGATATTGTGGGACATTTTGTATGGGGCCCGTAACTGTGTTTTTATGCAATCAAACAAAACATAGCTATTAGTATGTCCGAATCATTTCACACTTAAAAGCTTCTATCAACTCCAAAAGCTAACTCTTCTCATGACAAATATCTTTCAATAACTACCCTACTCCGAACCTAATCCTTGGCAAACTATTATGTAAACTGTTCTACTCTAATACCAATTCTCTACTGCATTCTACTACTCAACTGACATTACCCGAAATTATTTTTGTCTCGCTACTCATTGGTTGGGCTGTTAATCTTTACATTTGATCCTATCTACTGACATATGGTTGCATGCGCTACTTTCGTCTCCGTTCTAGCCTTTTACCAAATCCTATTTATAGGTTTTCGAAAAATATGTGCTTAAAATTCCCCCACAAGGCTGAATTGCAATTTTCCCTGTTGGTCGATTTAACGATTGTGGTCCTCATATATTTGCTAGGCGTAGCCTATAGAGATAAAATATGCTATAATTTTAAGAAAATTCGCTTTCATTTTTCATTAACAATCTCAGTGTTTGCCAAAACAAATTTGGACTCTCGTCAGCGTTGAAACTTTTCTATTTTTTCAGCCAATCCTGGGTTGTCGTTTAGTACTTTTAAAAATCGAAAAAAAAAATGATTAAATAAAACGATATTTATACGAGGTTAGTATCACCAACTTGACTTGTACTTTGCGACAAACTGAATATCCCACGTTTTCTATTGATCTGATGCGTTAACTTGCCAAAGTTGAAGCGACTATGGCGTCGCACGTACCATAAAAACCGCCCAATATATATATATATATATATATATATATATATATATATATATATATATATATATATATATATATAAATATATATATATATATATATATATATATATATATATATATATATATATATATATATATATATATATATATATTGAAAAATGTATTTTTATAAATAGTTCGTGTCGACCACTATTCTAACATATAAATAACCTATAAGTCGCATAATACTGTAACATTATGACATAGTAAAAAGAAAAAATACCCGGTCGTATGAACAAAACCAGACACAGCAAACAAAAGATCGCTGACATTTTCATCATCTTGGGCTTTCTCTGTGTATGGTCCGAATACAGAAAAACAACCAACTTATAAATCCTGGTGAACTAATTAACTAATTGACAATCAATACATTTTGTCTAAGGTTTACATACAGAGTATGTGTTTAAGCCTGCATTACTGCTACATCGTTGAATCATTTTTAACACTCCTGTTACTGATACATTGTTATCATATATATATACATACATATATATATATATATATATATATATATATATATATATATATATATATATATATATATATTGTTATGTACAGTTATTATTAAAAAAAATATTGACTGTTTTCACTGTTATACACCTTAGTACTTCATCGTATACGGAGTTAAGGAAACTATATTAAAATCCAGATTTATCAAAATGTTGGCGTTTTACGCGTAATCGAGTCTTTCGCATTTCTGTCTGTGTGTGTGAACACGATAACTTTAGTACCGTTACAGCTAACGAGATTTTGTATTTTAAGCAAGAGAGGACGACATTTACAGCCATTGTTGGAGATTAATGGACGGGACCCATGGTTGGAGATTAATCAACCCGATGTGTAGAAGAATATCTAGATTTACCACTTAGTGGCCCACTTATAGATTGACCTTTGCGGACTGTTTACAGTTACTTCTTTATGGAAAACTGGGAGTTTGTCACTAGAGAATTGTTTTCACCACTTTTTAAAGATCACATTGCTACACCCTCTGGTTATTTCCAGGTCTAATCTTTAGTGGGTAAGATAAATGTTCGATTCTCGAAGTTGTTCCTTTCTCCAGTAGTCTTTCGAACTAGGCGGTTTTTTTTTTTTTTTGTAAACAAGAACTAATAATGCATGAACACAATTATTACTATTTCTACACTTTAATACCACGATATAATTGCAAAACCTAACATCAAACCGCTACAACATAGAATACAATGTGAAATAAACTACTGTCTACAACGACTGAAATTTTTAAAAGTCCTTAGTCTGACCCCACTTGTCGCGTGAGTGCAGTTCTACTCTAAATCTACAGACATCTAGTGGCGCCGCCACCAACTCATCAGGTATTTCCCCTTCTGTCGTAGTCTAAGCCTGCACTATGTATGGTACTGTCCCGAAACTCTTCTAAAGTAGCAGACTCCCAAAAGTCCAGATTCATGGGTAATTACGTACCATCACTAGTGTCTAATTTAATTAGACCAGTCCACAAGCTTCCCACGGTAAGTAGGGCCAGTCAATAATTATTGGAGCTGTCGTGACCGTAATGGTAAGTCTACGAGCATGCTGTTCGGCCTAATAGCGACGATCAGGCGCTGGCCACCTGCCTACCTAAACTATGGCCGTCTTCCCCTTCAATAAGGTCGGACCAGGTAAAACTCTCATGGGATCATAACACAACAGTAACAGTGTCTAACCCTAAAGTGTTGCATGCGGTGTTGCATGTGACAAATTAATGGTGACAGGGTACCGATAACGGCGTGGAGATCAACCTGTTTGCACTGGGTAAACACTCAACTTTCGACCCATTAGTCAATATGTAATTACCCAGATTAAACTTGCTTAGGTCAGTACTGTATCACGATAACAAAGGATACTCTCGAAGCTGTATAGCTTGTATCCACTTTAAGGGCATTTCACCCTGAAATCTAAAAATAGCTGCTGTCTAACATATAATCCTAGATCTAATATTTGTGTTAAAACACATATAGTATTTACACCCCGGAGCAGTTTTCGCCATGTCAATTACCCCCGCCTCCAGGGAAATACCCCCCCTCCCCACTCTCAAGTTAGATACCTAACTCTAACTAGAATTCTATAACTATATACTACTTTAATCCTAACCATAAGAAAAAAGACCAAAACCTAAGCATCCACCTTAACCTAAAACTAAACACAACACCAAATTCAACGCTAGACATTGGTTAAAGACTAAGCCTAACCCTAGCCCTAGCCCTAGCTATAGCCCTAGACCTAGACCTAGACCTAGACCTAGACCTAGACCTAGACCTAGACCTAGACCTAGACCTAGACCTAGACCTAGACCTAGACCTAGACCTAGACCTAGACCTAGACCTAGACCTAGACCTAGACCTAGACCTAGACCTAGACCTAGACCTAGACCTAGACCTAGACCTAGACCTAGACCTAGACCTAGACCTAGACCTAGACCTAGACCTAGACCTAGACCTAGACCTAGACCTAGACCTAGACCTAGACCTAGACCTAGACCTAGACCTAGACCTAGACCTAGACCTAGACCTAGACCTAGACCTAGACCTAGACCTAGACCTAGACCTAGACCTAGACCTAGACCTAGACCTAGACCTAGACCTAGACCTAGACCTAGACCTAGACCTAGACCTAGACCTAGACCTAGACCTAGACCTAGACCTAGACCTAGACCTAGACCTAGACCTAGACCTAGACCTAGACCTAGACCTAGACCTAGACCTAGACCTAGACCTAGACCTAGACCTAGACCTAGACCTAGACCTAGACCTAGACCTAGACCTAGACCTAGACCTAGACCTAGACCTAGACCTAGACCTAGACCTAGACCCAGACCCAGACCCAGACCCAGACCCAGACCCAGACCCAGACCCAGACCCAGACCCAGACCCAGACCCAGACCCAGACCCAGACCCAGACCCAGACCCAGACCCAGACGCAGACTCAGCCCTAGCCCCAGCCCTAGCCATAATCCTGATTTTAACCCTAACCTAGTAATAATATTTTAGTCACACATATGACCTTTTAAACAAATTCGAATTTTGGTCATTTTTCTAGACACTCATGCTACTTTTTCTTGACTAAACTATGAATTGTTTTAGACACACCTATACCTTTTTAGACACCTTACATTTTGCTAGACTCACCTATTCGAGACACACCAATTTCTTTTCCAGACTACCATATTACCTTATTCCAGACACACCTATACATTTTTACAGACACACGTGACTTTTCTAACCTTCCACTATTGACTACAGGGTGACCTGTAACAAATTAACGGTGACAGAGTACCGATAGAGGTGTTGTGATCAACCGCTTTTCTCCGCTGGTCAGTGTACCTTTTGACTCGTTGATCGAAGGTTAATTTGTCCTTAGGTTCGATCCACCTAAATATGCCTATGTCTGCAGTATTGACTGTCACGAAAACAAAGGATACGCTCAAAACTGAATAGTTGAAATCCACTTAAAAGAGAAATCCACTTAAAAGACACTTAAACACCAAATATAAAATGTTATAACAAGTCTTAGTCATTTATAACCAGTTTAAGTTTAAAACCTAAATATTTAATTAGCATCTATTCTCATCCTAAATATAATTATAATTTTTATTCTTAGCTGCGATGTATCGTGTGAATATTTTGTCCCTTACTGTTGTCCTAATATATTTTGTCCTTACCTCTTTTTCCGTTAAATAATTTGTCTTTGGGATGATTGATTTGTCTGAAATCATTTTTCATTGGGATCATTTGTTTGTAATTATTTGTCATTGATATCATTTGTATGAAATCATTTTTCATTGGGATCCATGTCCTATTACTGTTGCGCATTTATATTGGCATACGTAAAATACGACTCATTTTTACAGCTTTTATTTAACTCACTTCCTCGTCAGTCTGTCGTCAGTCTGTCTAGACCGAAACGCAGGAGTGAAAATTCGGACAGTTCTACTTGACCGATACGATTCAAAGTTGGCACGTAGGTCAAGACATGAAGACAATGCAATCTGAAACTTAATTTGACTTAATTGGATGCCTAATTAATTTTTTATGAATTAATTAAAATTTGGACCGAATTAGTAGGCATGTCTAGCAAACCACACCACACGCGTCATCACGTTCAATAGCTGCGCCATCACGGTACGTTCAACAGCTGGCCATCACGTTCAGTAGGCGCGCAATGGTTTTTAGTCATGTAACTCTATTGTAAATAAAACATGTAAAGTACTGAAAAAAAATTCATAAAAAACGTTTTAATAACAAGCTTTTATGTAATAATGCACTAAAAAGTAGAAAATAAATTATAGACTACTATTTAAATAACTATAAAGAAAAGCGTGAGTGACTTCCTTAACATTAGTAAAGGTATCCAATAGGTACTAAAGTGACCCACGCTTTTCTTTATAGTTATTTAAATAGTAGTCTATAATTTATTTTCAACTTTTTAGTGCATTATTACATAAAAGCTTGTTATTAAAACGTTTTTATGAATTTTTTTTACAAGATTTTATTTTTGTTAGCAACGTCTGTGTTTGTTTGTGAGTTTGTTGCAAATCTTGTAACTCAATTTTTACCTTTTGTAATGAAGCGATTTCATTCAAACTTTCCAGATATTAAAAATAAGATAATAAAACTAATTTACTTTCTATAACATGAGCTTTAGTCCCTGATATTTTACATATTTTAGCGTCAATATCATTTATTAAAGAAAGTAATTTTGTTTAATTTTCTTTTTTTCAGGGTTTTTTTTTAAAGCTTGTTGCTATAAAGGTTTTTAAGATTTGCTTTTTCTCGTGTGTTGTTATGCTATTTTATAGGTAGATAGAAGATTTATGACCTGTTGAATTTTTATTTTTAATATGACGAGTTCCAAGTAATTTTTGTTTAAATAAATAAAAAGTAAACATGAAATCTGTTTGTAGTAATACTGGAACTTATCGGCAACTAAAAACTTTGTGTAAACAGTTGATGGAGATGTAGATTTTGTGTGATGTTTTACCAACTAAATCTCAATAGTTATTATTAAACCGCTGCCAATTGATTTTAATGTGGAAGCTTCCATCTTAAAAGTATAAGTCTGTACTAAAAAATAATCCAGAAACTTGATTTTAGTTTCTCTCATATATCGATGTTACAAATTTACTTCCTGCAACATAAATATAAGCAGATAAACGTGCTAAGATTTTAACAGACGATAATATGTATATATGGTCAATTATTTAACTTGAAAGATAAAGCTATAAAAGATATTGTTAAAGGACAAATGGTCATTTAATTTTTTTTAATACGCGAAAAAAATTAAATTAAATTATTTGTTTAGAAAAGGAGTTTAAGTTTTTTTTAATACTTACATCCTTTACATATAATAGAACCGAGCAGAGCAAAAGAATTGAACACCAATAGACACAACCATGAAGAGTCTCGAATTTTGGCCGAATTTTTGTATGAAGGTCATTAGGTCAATTTGTCATCAGTATGACTTACGTAAATATGTACTTATTTGAAATATTCTTGAGACAATCTTAATATAGGGCTTCTACCGTCTTACCCTAATCTGTATGACGTCTGCATGTCTACGTGACGTATTTAATGTTTTTTAAGACGCCCACTTACCTATAGAACGTTTTAATTTTGTAATTTGTACAGCTGTTGGTACTTTGTTGTGTGTCTATTTGCTGGTAACCCGTCTAATCACAATATTTAATTGATGTGAACTTCATCCTAAAATTAGAATAGTTCTAAATTGTTTCATTTATTTTTTAGTTACAAAGACCTGGTACTACCGAATACCGGTTAGATTTTTTTTTAATACTGTGCACATTAACGATTAAATATTCACGCTGTTGATTGGGTTTACTTTGACATGTTGAATAAGTGGTCATCCATGTATGAAGTCCACAAAAATTTGGGATTTTACACCCCCTTCCCCCCGCCCTCCCGTCAACTAGCGTCCACTGTTGACGACCCCACTCCCCCTATGTGGAAGTCGATAAAAAAAATATAGTAGATTTCTCGAACCATGTCGCCAAAGTACTACTTCAATAACATGCAGTATCTTTACTAGGCCTAAATATTTAAGTAGAGCCTAGAATGTGTAAAAAAATAAGTCTATTTTAATGGACAGAGTTTGTGTTAGAAATTATTGTTTGGAAATGATAGTGTTAAAAGTGACTGTATTAGAGAAATGAGGTAATATGAGGACTGATATAAAACATGAACCATGGTGTTTAGAATAACAAGATAGTGTGTACTCACGAGACTTGGCTGCCTGTAGTACACATAATGCAAGATGTAACCCGAGACTGGTAAGCAAGGTAATTTTTTTTTTCCTTTTTTTCCGCCTCAGACAAGTGAATTACAGTGTCCATTTGCCTTGCATGTTCGCTTTAGTATTACAGTTTTCATCATCGGCTTGTGAGGACTGATACAGATTTACAATAGTAATACTTCTTTCTTACATATAGCCTCTTTTCATTCATTTAAGATGGTTTACTTATACATAGATCTAATACAAAACGTGTAGTTACAGTTGTATTTATTTTTAAAAAACCTGAAAATTCAAATATGTAATTAAAGGATGATTCAAAAGGTTCGAAATTTGGACCCCGTGATTTCTAGCTATCAAACGATTCGAAAACATTTTTATATAGAATAATACATCTGGAGTCAAATTAGCGTTTTTCACAAATCATTTTCTATGTATCGATTAAATTTGATAATTAAAATTGGTATAAATTGAAGATAAATTAATGTAGTTTTTAATTGTTTAGTTCATGTTGTACAATATTGAAGTTTAAAATCTGAGGCGACACAACACCCTACATTAGTGTTAAAAGATTGTTAAGAAGACTATTAACTTTTGATAGGCCACAGTGTCAGTAGAAATTTAGGAACAGACAACTCCATTACCGTCTTCAGCTAAATGAAATTTCATTGTTGCCTCCCTTAGTTTTCTTTGCAAAACAAAAAAAAATTGCCTCGTTATACCGTGGAAAACCAGGTGAATAATTTAACACATTTCAGAATCGTTAGCATGACAGCCTCTAACCCCTCTATCCCTCATAACCACGTGCCACATAATTTAACGAACAAAATGATACTAACAGAAATAAAACACCTTCGATTAAAAAGAGCATGATTTCAATTATCTTTTGGGGGTCGGAGTGGTCGAGCAGGTAAAGCCCATGGTTGCTAAACCGAAAAGTCTCCGGCAGATGATGTTCGGTCATCAACACTTCTAAGAGAGACAACTTCAAAATCAAAAGACTGCTGCCTTGTAGTTTGTTATTGGTTGGAAGCAAATCCATAAAAAAATAAGCTGGCTAAATTGGAATCAACAAATGACACGTATAATAATTGTGTTTGGGGAATATCTTCCTATGTTTGTTAAAATGTCAATGTGTACGTTTCAAGTTTATCTTTAAACATTTCAAAGAATCAAATCATGATAAAAAAAATATTCATAAAAAAAACGTTTTCGTCTTCTTCGTTCTTAATTTTTAGTGTTGGAATGGATCGAGCCTTATCTGCCAGAGGGTTGAAGTCGAGACTTTTTCGAATTTATCAACCATGAGCTTTTCCCGACTCGACCACGCCTCCATCACAATTAAGGATACGTGTCAACTGGTTATGCGCCATTGAGGACATTGACTCCGATTGCAGCCTGCTTTTCTTTTTGGATTTGCTTCCATAGACTTTGTTCAACCAAGAACAAACTACAAGGCAGCAGTTGTTTGTTTTTTGGAGTTGTCTCTCCTAGAAGAGTTGCTGTCTACAACTAACGAGCCTCATCTGTCAGAGCTTTACCGACTCGACCACGCCGACCCCTAAAAAAAGCGTGGGTCACTTTAGTATCTATTGGATACCTTTAGGAAGAGACCCACGCTTTTCTTTTTAGTCATTTAAATAGTAGTGTATAATTTATTTTCTCTTTTTAAGTGCTTTATTACATGTAATTAAAGGATGATTCAAAAGGTTCGAAATTTGGACCCCGTGATTTCTAGCTATCAAACGATTCGAAAACATTTTTATATAGAATAATACATCTGGAGTCAAATTAGCGTTTTTCACAAATCATTTTTGATGTATCGATTAAATTTGATAATTAAAATTGGTATAAATTGAAGATAAATTAATGTAGTTTTTTATTGTTTAGTTCATATTGTACAATATTGAAGTTTAAAATCTGAGGGGTCACGACACCCTACATTAGTGCTAAAAGATTGTTAAGAAGACTATTAACTTTTGATAGACCACAGTGTCAGTAGAAATTTAGGAACAGACAACTCCATAACTGTCTTCAGCTAAATGAAATTCCATTGTTGCCTCCCTTAGTTTTCTTTGCAAAACAAATAAAAATGCCTCGTTATACCGTAGAAAACCAGGTGAATAATTTAACACATTTCAGAATCGTTAGCATGACCTCTAACCCCTCTGTCCCTCATAACCACGTGCCACATAATTTAACGAACAAAATGATACTAACAGAAATAAAACACCTTCGATTAAAAAGAGCATGATTTCAATTATCTTTTGGGGGTCGGAGTGGTCGAGCAGGTAAAGCCCATGGTTGCTAAACCGAAAAGTCTCCGGCAGATGATGTTCGGTCATCAACTCTTCTAAGAGAGACAACTTCAAAATCAAAAGACTGCTGCCTTGTAGTTTGTTATTGGTTGGAAGCAAATCCATAAAAAAATAAGCTGGCTAAATTGGAATCAACAAATGACATGTATAATAATTGTGTTTGGGGAATATCTTCCTATGTTTGTTAAAATGTCAATGTGTACGTTTCAAGTTTATCTTTAAACATTTCAAAGAATCAAATCATGAAAAAAAAAATATTCATAAAAAAAAACGTTTTCGTCTTCTTCGTTCTTAATTTTTAGTGTTGGAATGGATCGAGCCTTATCTGCCAGAAGGTTGAACTCGAGACTTTTTCGAATTTATCAACCATGAGCTTTTCCCGACTCGACCACGCCTCCAACACAATTAAGGATACGTGTCAACTGGTTATGCGCCATTGAGGACATTGACTCCGATTGCAGCCTGCTTTTCTTTTTGGATTTGCTTCCATAGACTTTGTTCAACCAAGAACAAACTACAAGGCAGCAGTTGTTTGTTTTTTGGAGTTGTCTCTCCTAGAAGAGTTGCTGTCTACAACTAACGAGCCTCATCTGTCAGAGCTTTACCGACTCGACCACGCCGACCCCTAAAAAAAGCGTGGGTCACTTTAGTATCTATTGGATACCTTTAGGAAGAGACCCACGCTTTTCTTTTTAGTTATTTAAATAGTAGTGTATAATTTATTTTCTCTTTTTTAGTGCTTTATTACATGTTATTAAAATGTTTTTTAATGAATTTTTTAAAATGTTTTTATTTACAATAGAGTTACATGAATAACAACCATTGCGCACCTATTGAACGTGTCGACGCGCTATTGAACGTTATGACGCTTGTGGAGCGTGGATAGAACTGCCAACTAATTTGGTCAATATTTTAATTAATTCATGAACAATTAATTAGGCGTCCAATTAAGTTAGATTGAATGTCATGTTGCCTTGTCTTCATGTCTTGACCCACGTGCCAACTACGAACCCTATCTGTCAGTTAGAAGTGTCAGAAATTTCGCTCGGGCGTTTAGATCAAGACTGACTGACGACAGACAGAGGAAGTGAGCTTATAACAATGATATCTAGAGCGCATATAGTCAAGTGCGTCGCTAGTCTGGGTGTGACCCGGTGCTGCATCGCATGTTGTCACCCCCACCCCAACAATATATATATATATATATATATATATATATATATATATATATATATGGTCTACATAGGCCTATATAGTTGCCTAATAGCGTCAATTTGTGCGCACATTATATTTATACACCTATTGCTTCATGTGGAAAAAGCATCGTTTTCATCGTAATTAATTAGATTATGGTGTCACTCGGTGCTTTCCGCACCCCCCGCACCCCGTCTCGCAACGCCTTTGCATATAGTTTCTAATTTATCATAGTCTTTTAACTCAATACCCTGCAACACAATCACCACAAACACTATCAACTCTACACTATCATAAGTAAAACAATCACCAACAACACAAACATATCGAAAACAATCACCACTAACACAATCACTTTCAACATAGTCTCCACTAAAAATTAAACGACAATCTAACCGAATGTTCAATAAATTTATTTGACTTTACTTTTTGAAACAGCATTTCGTTAACAGTTCTCATCATATAATTGAAATCAGTGTAATCTTCATCTTGAAAACATCAACCTCTGTGAACATTAGCCCGCGTAACATAAATGTTCTTGACTAATGACTTGTCCCCCTCGTCAGCAGCGATCCAGTTATTGAAGCTGAACAGGTAATGGGTGGAACCAGAGCCCTGCGAAATGAATACAGAACTTGGTTATTTCTCAGGATTGTAGTAATGTTTGGCAGAAACAGAAATACATCTTCCTTTAGAATACTAATAAGGGACGGAATGTCCAAGCGGTAGAGAGCTAGACAGCTAAACCTTAAGTCTCGAGTTTGAATCCGGGTTCAAGTCAGTAGACCGTCCCTGAGTCTACCCAACTCTGATGGTTACCTCACTCACGTTAGAGAAAGAAAATGCGGCTGGGCATAGTTCTGGCCACCACAGGTAAACTCTACTTCACTTGCTCCATAGACCGTCAGGTTTAGAAGGGGAACTTTACAAGACTACTAACATTGTCGGCGTTTTTCAAACTTCCTCATATGGATGTATTACAATTATATACGTTTTTACATCATACATATATACGTATTACACATTAAAACATATGAACGTCCTACAGATAGGCCTATATGTATGTCTTACAGATTCAAAAGATAAGAGTGGACTTAAGTCATATAAATAAGTCGACGTCATACAAATTTACGTATATATTGACTTTTTAATTAATGCCTTCCACTCAACACAATGATGTTACACGCCATACTCCAGCTTCCGAAAACACAGGTGTGGCATGAATAAACGGATCATATATCTTTACCCTTATAAGTGTTTCACTGCAAGAACCGTTTCCTATTTGAACGTCCCTAATCAATTAGGCTAGAGGCGTTCACGGAAACTCATCAAATACAACTATGTGCACAGAATTAAGAAGACCTTGTGTGAACTTCTTGGATTCTTTAAAAACGCGGTGATTAACCCAATGTCACAAATAAACTTTAAAAAAAAACTCACAATGTCGTTGTCATTTACAGCGGCTACTGGCTGATCTATTGTAACCTAAGAGAATCGAACAAACAAAAATTAATTAATAAAGCAAAATATCAATATAAACAGTTACAAAAAATTATTTTAAAAATGCATAAAAATTGACAAGATGTTATATAATAATGAAATAAAATGAGAAAATAAATCATGTTCTTTAAATATATGCTAATAAACTCCTATTCAAATAAATAAAAATAAAAAAGGGGGTCTCTTCTTAAATTCTAGTAAAGGCGTACTGCTATTTAAAAAAATAAAAATAAAAAAGTGGGTCTCTTCTTAAATTCTAGTAAATAATTCCAATATATAATATAACACGCCACAAGCTTTTGTTTTGTTCGCGTGGTCTGTTTGTTTGTTTGTGGGTTTGTGGCAAATATTGTAACTCAATTTGACCCATTCTAATCCAGTGGTTTTGTTCACACATTCCAGACACGTTCCACTTCAATCTATTCTTTTAAAATTTAATTAGATGTTTAATTAGTCAGTACAAATTAATTAAACGGTTTCGGAACTAAGGGGAGATAAAAATAATTAAATCACTCGTTAGATTACCACGTTCAATAACAGAAGAGGAGATAATTAGAGCAGGCCGATCTAGTAGAGGTAGAAATAATCGGGTTTTTTTTAACTGAGCTATTAAGGCAATAAATTATATTGGTCATATTAATAGGGTGTTTTATTGAATAAAAAACGTATACATTTCGGTTGTTATTTTTCTCACTAGTAAGCTAATGTTATATTAGATTTGTCAAAGTCAACACTAAGCCAACTTAACCTCAAACCCCCCCTCAACCCCCCCCCCCTACCCTCACCCCCCCCCCCCCTCTCCCATTGCAGGTATTAAAGAAACTAGTCTTCCCCGCTGGACTTTGGATGTCCCAAAGAAACTTGGCGAGAGTTTGAGTCAAAGAAATGTTTTTTCTTTTTTTTTTTTTGTGTCTTAAGAAGCATTACAGTGGTTTAAAGCTCAAGGGCTCTGGAGCCCCATTTGGATTTGTGTTATCTAAGAATATACGAGAAAACTCCAACTTTATTTGAGTGTTGTGATTAGTTTTGTCTCCTAATCTTCATGTTTTCTATTTTGACACCAAGAGGAGGCGAAAATTAGTTAATTAACTCAGTAGAATTATTTCAATGACATTTTTTAAAAATTTGCTGAACTGTAATCGCCAGTTAAACCACCATCGTTTTTATTCTTACACGCTCGACTCGACGATATATTTCATCCTTAAAACTATGTTATTAGATTAAACAATATTATAGGCTGTGGTGTAAGATTGAACAAGATTATATTCTGAAAATTCGCACTTACATAATCCAGGTACCAACCAGGCTTATTACCCCCGTTGTCATGTCCAATCTCAATAAAACGAATCCGTCCGACATTTTTGTCATTCACCTGTAGTAACATTTTCAAAACAATTATTCTACATGTATCAAAACCAAGCATAAGTCGGGGGATTTCTTAATTGAATAGATTATTATTCCAAGGAAAAATGATTTAAGACAAATAAAAGACTAAAATAAAGAATTATTTCATAACCATCAAAACTATTGGCTAGAATCTCTATGCCATTCCCGTAGGATTTTTTTAAATATGTTTTTGCTGGTCACAAATTATACATCATAAAATGATTACCTGAAAAGTGTCCACGTCTCTTCTTTCAAAGCTGCCGCGTAAGTAATGTCTTCCTGTCGTTCCTCTAGAGCCAAAAATGGTTATGAAAACAGAAGCGTCGGTGCCGGCATTTTTTACATCACCAGTTTTTACAGTTATCTTGTATTCGATGTTTTGTGAGATTCCTGAGGAAAGCAAGATAGATAACGCAACTTCGTGTAGTGTGGGAGAATTATATGTAACCCCGTCAGTTTAGGTAGGCTACTTGTGACAGGATATGGTGGGACCTTTTTATGGAGCCCGCAACGGTGCTTTTATACAATCAAACAAAACTGGGCTCTTAGTATGGCTGGATCATTTCACATATAAAAACTTCTATCTACTCCAAAAGCTATCCAACTCTGCTAATGACAAATATCTTTCGATAACTACCCTAATCCGATCCTAATCCTCGGCAAACTATTACGCCCACCGCTCTACTTTAATTCTCTACTGTTTTTTACTATTCAACTGATACTACCTCAACCTATTCCCGATTCCTGATGGCTGATTGTCTTGTTACTCATTGGTTGGGCTATTCATCTTTTCATTTGATCCTACCTACGAATGGTTTCTTGAGCTACTATTGTCTCCGTTCTAGCCTTTTACCAAATCCTATTTATAGGTTTTCGAAAATTATGTGCTTAAAATCCCACAAAAGGCTGACTTGCAATTTTCCCTTTTGGTCGATTTAACGATTGTGGTCCTCAAATATTTGCTAGGCGTAGCCTACAGAGTGAAAATCTGCAATAATTTTAAGAAAATTCGCTTTCATTTTTCATTAACAATCTCAGTGTTTGCCAAAACAAATTTGGACTCTCGTCAGCGTTGAAACTTTTCGAAAGGTACGCTATTTTTTCAGCCAACCCTGGGTTGTCGTTTAGTAAAAATCGAAATACAACTTAGATAAAACGATATTTACACGAGGTCAGTATTACCAACTTGACTTGTACTTTACGACAAACTCAATTTCCCACGTTTTCAATTGATCTTATGCGTTAACTTGCCACATTTGAAGCGACTTCGGCGTCCCATGTCCCATAAAAACCGCCATATATATATAGTTTATGTCGACCTCTATTCTAACATATAAACCATCCATAAGTCGTATAATACTATAACATGACATAGTAAAAAGAAAAAATACCTGGTCGTATGAACGCAACCAGACACAGCAAACAAAAGATCGCTGCCATTTTCATCATCTTCGGCTTTTTGCCTGTTTGGTCTGACCGCAGAAAAACAACCAACTTAAAAAGCCTGGTGGACTAATTAACTAATTGGCAATCAATACATTTTGTCTAAGGCTTACTCCAGAGTGCGTGTTTAAGTTTGCATTACTGCTACATCGTTGTATCATTTTTAACACTTCTGTTACTGATACATAGTTATCTTATTTCATCGATGTAATGATAGTCATACAATATATATATATATATATATATATATATATAGATAGATAGATAGATAGATAGATAGATAGATAGATAGATAGATAGATAGATAGATAGATAGATAGATAGATAGATAGATAGATAGATAGATAGATAGATAGATAGATAGATAGATAGATAGATAGATAGATAGATAGATAGATAGATAGATAGATAGATATTTATATTATATTATTTATATATATATAGTTATATACAGTTGTTATATACTGTTATATTTTTATATTTGAATGTTATATGGTACACATACACCTTAACAGGTCCCATCAAGGTATGGAAATTGCTCAAAAGTTGGACACTAACTTCTCGTTACCAACATACAGATTAGTTTACTATTTTCTCCTGTTTTTTAATTGGGATTTTACGGTCAAGGAATATATATAGAACTGATTCTCATGTTCAAATCTGGTGGTGAAATGCACGGGGGTAGGGGGGGTAAAGTCTGGCGGAACCAACATGTCAATTGGCTGGTAACATGGGTAAGATAAATTTTCGATTCTCGAAGTTGTTCCATTCTGCCGAGCTAATGAGAAATAGCTTAAGTAGGCAATTAACGTATACGAGAACGAGAGAAAAGTAAAACAGTGAAATTAATTTCGCCGTACTTCCATTTTTTCAGAGTCCCATGAGTGGCCTTCTTTAACTTTCCACAAACACCTATAACATTTACCTAAACGCATCTTTGTCATTTCCTAGTCAAGCCTCTTACTTCCCCTGCCCGTAGTCTTTCGAACTATGCGGGGTTTCGTAAACAAGAACTAATAGTGCATGAACACAATTATTAACTATTTCTTCTTCACTTTAATGCAATAATATAAGTACAAAACCCAACATCAAACCGCTACCACATAGAATAAAATGTGAAATAAACTACTTTCTACAACAACTGAAATAAAAGAAAAGTCATTTTTCTGACTACCCTACTTGTCCCGAGCGTTCAGTCTACAGACATCTAGTGGCGCCGCCACCAATTCACCAGGTATTCCCCCTTCTGTCGTAGTCTAAGCGTGCACTGTACTGTCTCAAAACCCTTCTAAAATAGCAGACTACCAAAAGTCCAGATTCATGGGTAATTATGCACCATCACTAGTGTCAAATTTAATTAGATCAGCCAACAAGCTTCCAGTACGGCCAGTCAATAATTATTGACCGTCACTATACACAGCTTTACACAACAGCCCTGCTTGAACGGACACCAGATGTCTCACGGCCATAGATCACAACTCTGTCCTTACCGCGATGGTCAGTCTACGAGCATGTTGTCCGGCCTAATAGCTATGATCAGGCGCTGGTCAACTGCCTACCTAAACTATGGCCGTCCTCCCCTTCAATAAGGTCGGACCAGGTAAAACTCTCATGGGATCGTAACACAACAGTAACAGTGTCTAACAATAAAGTGTTGCCTACGGTGTTGCATGTGAAAAATTAATGGTGACAGGGTACCGATAACGGCGTGGAGATCAACCGGTCCCTTGGTAAGCCCTCAACTTTCAAAATATTAGTCAATATGTAATTACCCAGATTAAACTTGCTTAGGTTATTACTGTATCACGATAACAAATGATATCTCGAAGCTGTATAGCTTGTATCCACTTTAAGGGCATTTCACCCAGAAATCTAAAAAAAGCTGCTGTCTAACATATAATCCAAGTATTTATTTTAAACCCATAGATTAGACTGAAAGCTGTTTGCAACAAAAATGTAATCCTGGTTTTAATCCTAACCTAGTTATAATGTTTTAGTCACACATATGACCTTTTAAACAAATTTTAATTTTGGTCATTTTTTTTCTAGACACTCATGTTACTTTTTCTTGACTAAACTATGAATTTTTCTAGACACAGCTATAATTTATAGAAACACCTATACATTTTGTTGACCCAATTTGAGCCACACCAATTTCTTTCCCAGACACTCATATTACCTTTTTCCAGCCACTCCATTATTTTTTGCAGACACTTGTGACTTTTGCAAACCCTACACTATTGACTACAGGGTGACCTGCGTCGAATTAATGGTGACAGAGAACCGATAGAGGTGTTGAAATCAACCGCTTTTCTCCGCTGGTCAGTGTAACTTTTTGACTCGTTGATCGAAGGTTAATTTGTCCTTAGGTTCGATCCACCTAAATTTGCCTAGCTCTACAGAGTAGACTATCACGAAAACAAAGGATACGCTCAAAACAGTATAGTTGATATCCACTTAAACAACACTTCCATACCAAATATATAATTGTCACTCTCATTTCTAACTAGTCTAATTTTGAATAAAACCCAAATAGCTGATTAGCATCTAATCCCTAATTTTTTTATTCTTAGCTGCGATGTTTTGTGTGAATATTGTGTTCATTTCTTTTGTCTTGATATATTTTGTCCTTACCTCTTTTTTCCGTTAGATAATTTGTCATTGAGATCATTTTTCCTACCACTTTTGCGCATTTATATTGGCATTCGTAAAAAAACTTTAACCTATTTTTTGTATCACACAATAATGGTAAGCTATACTCAATACGACTCAGTTTTACAAGCTTTTATTTTTGTTCGCAACGTCTGTTTGTTTGTTTGTTTGTGAGTGTGTGGCAAATCTTGTAACACAATTTTTACACCTTATAATGCAGCGATTTCATTCAAACTTTCCAGATATTAAAATAAGAAAATAAAACTAATTTTCGACCTGTTGATTTTGTATTTTTAATATGACGAGTTTCAGGTAATATCAGTAAAATGTAAATATAAAATCTGATTGTAGTAACACTGGAAATTATCGGCAAGTGGAAATTTTATGTGAACAGTTGATGGAAATATAGATTTTATGTGATGTCTTATTTACTAGAGTTTGATGGTTTCTATTAAACTTCGTGCAACATAAATATTAGCAGATAAGCTTGTTTAGATTTTAACAGCGGATATGTATACGTGGTCAATTAGTTAACTTGCAAGACAAAGCAATAAAAGATATTGTAAAGGAAAAATGGTAAAAAAAAATTCAAATACGCGAAAAAAATTAAATTTTGTATTTTGTTTTAAAAAGAATTTTAATTTCCTTTTTTATACTTGCATCTTTTAAATATAATAGAAACGAGCCGGGAAACAACAAAATAACTGAGCACCAATAGAAACAACAACGAATAGTCTCGACATTTTCGAAAGGCCCATAATTATTTTTAAAAATCATACATTATGTTATTATAATAAACATCGGGATAAAAATTTAACTGTGATTTTTGTTCCACTTTACTAAATATTGGATGTGATTGGTATTTTCGGTGTCTAAATTAAAAAAAAATTAAATGCCAAAAAAAATGTTTTTTGTTTACATTTTTATCACACTATGTCATTTGGTTTTAAAAACAAATCAGAGTTTGTAATATAAAAGTGTAGCTACATCCTATAACTTTAGTTTGATGAAAATCAGTAGAAATGTAGCTTTAAACTCAAAAAGTTATTTTCAACTTCTTTGGATTTACAACTTTTTATAAAATTGATTGTAAAAATATAAAATTTCTGAACTATTTAAAGCTTTAGTTGTTTGTTTGTTTTTAAATATTTTTTATGGTCAGTTTGATAGCAAAACTAATTTTAAAAAACATTATTTTATTCATGTCAGCAATAGTGATGGAAGGATTCTCGTCAACTCGCTCATATCCGTAAAATTCAACGAAAACTGTGCGTATTATAGAGCGGAAAATAGTAGTTTATAAGAAACACTGAATTACCATTTTTGAGAAATTGGAAATAGCGTAAATTACTACTGCCGCTCATGGAAATCAAATAAAATTTGGGAGAATCAAATGAGACCTTATGCCTATGTATACAATTTGGCTCACCTAACTGAATAGGTACTAAAATTATTTGCATTTAAAAACCAAAATATAAAATAAAGTAATACTTCACTCAAAACATGAAAGGAATCCAACTATAAGATCTTATACTTAATTATGAAATTTCTTCTACATAAGTGCTACAGTACTTAAGTTTCCACTTCTTGTTACCAAAAATCGTTTCAAATCTTATACAATTTGACAAATTATTGTATTGGAATGAATTTTGATAACCCATGTTTTGTGCAGTCATTAAAAAACAGGTGTGTTAAAATTAGGTTGAATTAAAGGGAATTTTTTTTTCCTTTAAAATCAACCTATTTGAATGATGCTACACAATGTAGCAGTAATAAAAGCTTAAATATACACATGGGAGTTTACCGTTAGTTAAAAATTGCAACAGTCTTTTGTCTCTCAATTACAGTTCACGTCAGTTCTTTCTTCACAAAGGGCAGGCTGAACACCTGAAGATGAGTTACGTAACGGCTTTTGGCTTCCTGTGTTTGGTGGTGGTGATACAGTCAGGTATTTTAGCATTAGATATTAGAGTCGTCTAATACCATTAAAAAAATGCACATTTCGATTTTTTTTAAAGTTCAATGTTTATTGAAGCAAATTTATTTAACGATATTAATACAGTTTATTGAACTGTAAATAGATTTTAACATGAGTTACCTGTCCATCTCATTTATATTCAAAATGCTAAATTTTATATATATATATATATATATATATATATATATATATATATATATATATATATATATATATATATATATTTAGAGAGAGAGAGAGAGAGAGAGAGAGGCATAATATTCACATATATAAAATGTATTATTATTTCCAGGATTTGCCGAACTTGTCGAATACAAGATACTTGTAAAAACAGGTAATAAATTCAAAGCAGGAACTAACGCTAATATTTTCATAAGTTTGTTTGGTTCAAGAGGAACAACAGGCAGAATTCCCTTACCACATCAGGATAAGAACAGCTTTGAGAGGGGAAGCAAGGATGAATTTACTGTAAGCATGTTTTGAATGTCTGTAGCCCTTTGTGACACCTATGATATTTTTTGACATTTTGTGTTACGTTTGACATTTTGTGACACTTTGTGATACGTGTGACGTTATGTGATGCTTTTGACACTTGAGTTTTTTAACACATGCGAAACTATGTAATATTACCAGGGTACCCGTTTCACGTGAATTATAGGCCTATATATTAAAGGACTTTTTATGTTATAGTTTACTTGTTTGGAAAAAATAATTTACAAAATAGTTATTGGTAAAAACTCAATGTTCTTTACTGTACGTTGAACGATATTACTGACAAAGCAAACTAAATAGCTAAAATGCCGACACATTTAATATAGCATAGGCTACCAAGACCTATTAGAAAAAAATTAAACCAATTAGATCATGTATTCATTATTAGACAACACAACATCATATTAAAGGCACACACTGATTAAGGTTTGTTTTTTCCAATTATTTAACCAGTCGTGTGATATCTACAAGTTTTATGATCACTACAGTAAACAAAATGACCTGCCCCACAAATACGTCAACCAAATAACCAACCCCATAATCACTGCAAATAAAATCACAACTATAGCAAACAAAACAAAAATGACCAAATGCACAATCACAACAGACAAAATCACAATTGTAAAATACAAAAGACCAAATGCACAACCGCAGCAAACAAAATGTCGAAGTCCGCAGTCCTCTCCATGTGTTAGATCAAATAACGATTAGGTTCCTAAATGTTTCTTCAGGTGACTTCCTTCAACGTTGGACGAGTTAACTCTATAGAGATTGGACATGACAACCGAGGAATAATGGCAGGCTGGTTTCTTGATTATGTGAGTAAACCTCGTACATGTACCCATTTATAGAATTAGAAATAATCTGATGGCATATATATATATATATATATATATATATATATATATATATATGAAATATGAGACTAGGAAAACTGCATCAGTAAGACACAATTATGCTAGCTTATTTGTATGGGGAGGCTGATTAAGTTAACTAAACTGTTAAGCTAGTAGGTACGGCGTTGGGGTAGAGAGGAGAGGGGCGAAACTTAACGTAGGTGGAATTGGCGGACTAAAACAGAATTCAAATATGGCAATATGTTTTCACATTGTTGGAGGAATCTACCTGGGTTAGCTGCTAAGTTAAAGATCTGCATTAGGGCGTTTTCTTGTGTGTGCTTTTGCCTAATTAACATTATGTAATGTATAAAACGGATCTATTTTTATATTATACTAGAACACCCGTTATTATTGGATAATAGGTACTCATAAATTACGTCACTTTTGTTTGACGATTTTTATTTTCCCCCTTAAACCCTCCACACACACGATCACAAATGGCTTAAAAATCATAAAAGACGTCACACCTCAGCAAAAATTAGAAGAATTGCCAAGCGTATCCGAATGAAAATTTAAAATTGGGTTGATAAAATAGCAAACAGTCGTATCGCTAAAGCTATATGCTACAGAAAATAAATTTAGCTTTTTAATGCGTTAAGATTTTTAAGGGCAACAATGTGTTCCATGAGAGCAACCAATGTTTGTTGTGAAAATAAGTAAAGAAAGTTTGTTCTTTTTTTATTATTAATTTACAGTGGTGTTTCTACGAATAAATTAATCAGCGTCTTTAAATAAACGTGTGTGTAACATTTTGGCAAAAAAATAAAATTGTCTCTACATAAATACGTACTTTACAGTTCTACAAATAGTGAAGACGCTCTCATCAAGCGGAACAAACAAGCAAAAAAAAAATTTAAAAAAAAACTTATTTTAGTAGTATAAAGATTTCTTAAAAACAAAAATTGAACTTGTGAGTAATTTTTTTTTTCGGCGCGGGAGGACATGGTCGGATGGTAGAGCACACGGATGCTAAAATATATCTAGAGGTCAGATCTTGAACTACAGTTCTGATGGGTACCTGACTCACGGTTGGGGAAGGAATAGGTAAAAGCGGCTGAGTATTGTGCATACCACACTATCCCTTCATCTACCTATGAACTGCCAGGGGTAACTTTACCGACAAGAGATTATTTAATGTATAACAATGACCGGACTTTGCAGAAATCAAACTTTTTTAATGTATTTTCTTCTTATAGGTCATCGTGACCCAAGCAGTGGCAGCAGTGGACGAGAATATAGTGGTAAGCTATTTATATCAACGTTACTTAAATCCATTAAACTTAGGCTTAGGGACTGTGTGGTAGAGACCGTGCTTGCAACCTTCAAAAAGTAGGCACATCACTGACGTGGCTATCTGAATCTACTGGGTACCTAAGTGGGTACATTGCTGAAGGGGGTATTTGAATAGTGGGTACATACACCACTTTAGTAAGTACTTGACCCTAGTGGGTACCTCACTATGATGCGTCCCTTACTCTAGTGGGTACTTGACCCTAGTTGATACCTGACCCTAGTGTGTACCTGACCCTAGTGGGTACCTCACTCTGGAGTTTACCAGGGTCTAGTGGGTACCTGACCCTAGTGGCTACCTCACTCTGGTGCTTACCTGACTCATGTGGGTACCTGACCCTAGTGGATACCTCACTCTGGTGCGTACCTGACACAGTAAAAAAAAACGGCAGGTTTTAAAAGTTAATTGATTGAATAAAGAATTGCTTTAAACTATGTTAGATGTTCAATAAATCCCAGACTTTAAGTGTTTGGTTGTATGCTCGTACAGACGTCATTGGTGCAAAGTTAAAGTATCCTCGGATAGAAGTCACAAAGACGACATTTTTTAAAATTAATTTACAACATGTTACAACCGCTGGGTCTAATACATACACGCACGCTGGTCTGTCATGGTAGACTGTATTACGTATATTTGTCGGTAGGCTGTAAAACGTCTGTATGTCTTTCGTCTCTACGACCTCCATAATTGTACAACCCTCTACATTGATATAAATGCACCAGTTTAAAATGTCCTTGTTTGTTCTTATCCCGCAGAAACCAGGCTCCACAACCTACAGGTTTGACTACAATAACTGGATCGCTATTGACGAGGGAGACCGTTCACTTGTCAAAACAATAAAAGTCACATCGACAGAAGTCAAACTGGCTTAAAGCAATATGCAGGCACAAATTCTCCTCGACAGAATATCTGATATTAAAATTAAAAGGAATTCTAATGTTCGTTAAAAACTAAAAGTTTAAACATGTAGAAAATATATTGGGTTTTTTTTTTTTTTTTTTTTTTTTTTTTTTTTTTTTTTTAAGATTTTAATTTAGTTTTAGTATTTTGAAATACAATGAAATAAAGTGATAATAATTATTTTCATGGTTTTCTTTTTAACTTTTTATTATCTTGTATTCTGTGTTCTTGTAAAACATTAGCTGAATGTATAATAATGTACCACTATTTTAATAACTCAAAAGAAAAGAATACTTTTACTAAAAAGCAATTTATCTTTAAAGAAAATCACGTATTTTATTCTTTTTAGCACATAATTATATCGAAGCTTGTTATTAAACATTTTTTATTTTAAAAATTGCAATTATTTATTTTCAACAATATCTAAAATTAAGAAATAATTATTTTAAAAAATGTTCGGCTAAGGCAGCTAATTTAATAGGAGTAGATAGATATATCTTCTTTACATTAAGACATGTTTTTTTCATAGTGCAAGTTTCATTAGAAAACAGAGGCGGCATTATGGGTTCAGGCGGATTATAGTGCCAAAATCCGATCCCAAAAAAATTAAATGTTTTATTGCAAAATATATTTTTTTCCTTGCACTTTGATAGAGGTTTTCTAAAAATCAAATATATCAAATATCAAAAAAAATCAAAGAAAATCAAGTATAAAAAATATGGATTGCGATCTGACTTAGCCAGTGAGTCCTGCCGATGACAGTTCAAATACGACATCGCGACTTCACGTATCGGCATCGTGATAGTTTCTATATCGTGTAACGGTGGACGTTACGACACGTACATCAAAATTGTATCAACCTCACATTATAGGTCCGTGTTGAGCGCATTTGACAAGCATACTTTTATAACTATATCGTGGCCCAGTAGACGACTTGTGATTGTCGTGATGGTACGTAGTGTAATTTTTTTAGTATTGTAATCCCTGAGTACTATGTCACGCAAAAAATAACGTGTTCGAACGAATATGTACAATATGGATGATGAACAAGTATACAGGGACTTAATTGGAGTCGGCGTCCTAGCTGCATCGTTTCCAAATCATAGTTACGTAATTTAAGTCTAGCATCGGCAAAACTAAGAGAACATTTCCTAAAGCTGTAAGGAGGTGGAAGGTACAAGAAATTCGAGGTGATGCCAGGCTTTTCTGAATTGGTGTCGGAAAGGTAACACCGGAAGTCACAACGATTTATGACTTTTTTCTTTCAATACAGTGATTTTTTAGTGATTTCATTTTGTGCATCGTGAGATCATTTGTCCTTCAGATAATTTGTCCTGAGATCATTTGCCTTGAGATATTTTGTCTGGGATATTTTGTCTGAGATCATTTGTCCGGAGATCATTTGTCATGGAACCTAAGAGAAGACCGTATATAACTTGTCCTCATGTATGTATTGGTCTTATCTTAAGTGCCTGGTGAATCACAAACATAATGGACTATCGTATAACAAAAATCGAAAAATACCTGGTTGTGTGTTTGTGAACAGAGTAAACCAAAGATCGATGCCATACATTTCTTCTTGCGGTTCTCGTTGTTTAGTCTGACCCCCAAACAAATCAGTTAAGTGTAAACACTTGGTCGACATATTCAACTTTATTGACAGACTTCGAACTCTACCCCAAAGTATATATTTTAGCCTGAATTACTGCTAAATTGTAAGTCTTAACTATTCTTTTAATTAAACATTGTCATTTTATTTTTTAGACCTAGGAGTGGCTGGATTAAAGTTTAGTTGGGCCATTGACCAGCGATGCTGCTTAGCTTTTGAGCAGCTGATAAATATAGGATTGTATTATAGATTATGGTGTTAGAGGAAGTTAATTATGCTTAAGTAGCCGTATTAGCATGAGGACATGGTGTTTCAGAGATGATTGATATTAGGTTGGATAGGATAGTAAAACAAACCACAAACACAAAAACACGTTAACACAAACACAAACATAAACAAAAGCACAAGCACAAACACAAGCACTGAAACTAACATAAACATAAACATAAACATAAACGTAAATATAAACGTGAACGTGAACGTGAACGTGAGCGTGAGCGTGAGCGTGAGCGTGAGCGTGAGCGTGAACGTGAACGTGAGCGTTAGCGTCAGCGTCAACGTCAACGTCAACGTGAATTTAAACGTAAACGTAAATGTAAAAAAAAAACATAAAACATAAACAAAAAACATAAACATAAAAACAAATATTAAAACATAAACATTAAAACATAAATATTAAAACATAAACATTATAACATAAATATTAAAACATAAACATTAAAATAAAAACATAAATTATATAGACTAACATAGAGAAGATTTAGACTATCGCGTAGAGTATTTAGACTAACCTTAATGTTTTATGCCGACACCGTGAAACAATTACAATCTGTTACTTAAAACGTTGACATAAATAGCAGGCTGAGTAATGACCTTTTTATCAAGGTTTCCATGTAGCATATGCTTCCTGAATACTTCTAGAATTTATTGCTTGACGTTTAATTACTGCGGTATATAAATAGCAATCTCGAGGTATCATGCCCAAAACATTCAGACACAGCATCTAAACCGACTGAGTAAAAGGTTAGTTTCAGCTAGATATCATAAAGGGTGGATCGCGTGAAATTATATTTTAGCAGGTTATGTTTAGTGTTAGATAGAGTTGGAGTATGGATAAAAGATCAGGTTAGGGATATATCTAAATAGAGAAACTGCTATTAAATATAGCGTGTTATGGCTAACCCAACAATGCAGGCATAAGTATAGACGTGACTACACGTAAAGGGGTGTTATTATCAGGACACATTTAATTGTCAAGGATATTGCTTTCAGTTAATAATATTTTGGTTGTATATTTGTCGAAAGACTCGAGTTCGAATCCGGGTTCAAGGCAGTAGAACATCTGGGCAGCATAGTGCTGACCACACAATCTTTTCATATGTTGAGCAGATGAACTCTACCTCATGTGTCCAATGTTTCTATGGCCCGAAATGAAAAAGTTGATGTAGGCGTATTTAGCCGGGGAAGTGAGAGTGGTATGTTATGATTATTTTATATGCATGCTTTAGTGATATTGTTAAAAATTTTGGTAAGCGAAACAGAAATTTCCTTAAAGAACGAATTCGTCTCATGAAGTGGTGTATATTTTTCAACAATGCCCCCACATCCCTCCCAAACAAAACCCAAAATCTTTTGTTATGGTGTTATCCAAACTGTATTAACGATTTAATGAGCGACCAATATTTTTATTATAAAAAGGCAATTAAGTTTATGTTCTTGTTTTCAGTGCACCCAAAAGCTGGTTATTATAAAGGTTGTATTATAAATGTTTTTATTTCCATACATTAGTAATTTGTTCAAAAACATGTTGACAAAACTAAGGCTAATAATATGTGCGTAAAAACTCAATGAGCAGCCTGTGATCTCTAAAAGACAGTTATCTGCTCGTCGATCAGGCAAAAATTCAACCAGTAGAAAAAAAATATTTTACCGTCGTCCGAAAGCTGACTGACTAACCACAAAGATTAACTCTTGATATCACCTCATATTATTAAATTCAATTTCTTTTAAAATTATATTAAAATTATATTTAAAAAAAATAATTTCTCGTAATCGGAGATGAATGACTTGTATCTGGAAAGTTTGAATAAAATCGCTGCATTAGAAGTCGGTTAAAATTGAGTTACATAATTTGCCATAACCGCAAACAAACAGATATTATGAACTAAATAAACGTTTTAAAAATTATGATAACTCAGACTTCAGTTCCAATAATATTAACAATAATAGGTAAGCATTAGCTGAAATTAGATGTCTTAAAATAAATGTCAAACTGTCTAATAGATGTAGAAGTCTAGTTTAGTTTCTATTTGCAGTTCAGACTTAACAACAAGGAATAACAAGATGATGATGACAACAGCGTTTTTGAGTTTTCTTTGTATGGTCACTTTCATACAACCAGGTATTTCTTGTTTTTGTGCTGTGAAATCCTATTGGATTTCTAAAGAGCACGGCACACAATTATGTAAGAACAGTGACCATACGAATATGTGAGGACAGTGGTTACATAAATATGTGAGAACAGAGATTACATAAATATTTGTGGACAGTAGTTACATAAATTTGTGAGGACAGTGATTACATAAATATGTGATACCAGTGGTAATATAAATATGCCGGACAGTGTTTACATAAATATGTGAGGAAAATGGTTACATAAATATGTAAGTGAGGACAGTGGTTACATAAATATGTGAGAACAGAGATTACATAATATTTGAGGACAGAGATTACATAATATGTGAGGACAGTAGTCACAAAAATATGTTAGAACAGAGATTACATAAATATTTGTGGACAGTAGTTACATAAATTTGTGAGGACAGTGATTACATAAATATGTGATACCAGTGGTAATATAAATATGCCGGACAGTGTTTACATAAATATGTGAGGAAAATGGTTACATACATATGTAAGTGAGGACAGTGGTTACATAAATATGTGAGGACAGTGATTACATAAATAGGTGATACCAGTGGTAACATAAATATGTAAGGACAGTGTTTACATAAATATGTGAGTGAGGACAGTGGTTACATCAATATGTAAGGGCAGTGTTTACATTAATATGTGAGTGAGGACAGTGGTTACATAAATATGTAAGGACAGTGTTTACATAAATATGTGAGTGAGGACAGTGATTACATAAATATGTGAGGACAGTGTTACATAAACATGTGAGTGAGGAGAGTGGTTACATAAATATGTGAGTGAGGACAGTGATTACATAAACATGTCAGGACAGTGATTACATAAATATGTGAGTGAGGAGAGTGGTTACATAAATATGTGAGTGAGGAGAGTGGTTACATAAATATGTGAGTGAGGACAGTGATTACATAAACATGTGAGGACAGTGATTACATAAATATGTGAGTGAGGAGAGTGGTTACATAAATATTGAGTGAGGAGAGTGGTAACATAAATATGTGAGGACAGTGATTACATAAATTAGTGAGTGAGGAGAGTGGTTATATAAATTTGTGAGTGAGGACAGTGGTTACATAAATATGAGAGGGCAGTGGTATTTGAGTAATAATGAGTGATATAATAGTGTGCGCGATAAGAGTTGAAAAAGATCGGTTCAACCTAAATAAATCACAGCTGAACAAACACCAAATTACTTAGTTTGGTTTACAATACGCCAAACGATTTCGTCATGGGTAGGGGAAGCTACTCTAAATTATTTCACATTGTTTAAATATGGCACACAGGAATAGCCACTAACTCGAGCAGTCAACAGGACATCGACTACACGATCACTATAAAAACCGGAGATCGGAGAAATTCTGGCACTGATGCTACGGTATTCATCACGTTGTTCGGCTCCAGAGGCTCGTCCAACAAACTGAATCTACCAAATCAGGTCCATAACACGTTCGAGAGAGGCGACACGGACACGTTTACGGTGGGAACTCTTCATTGTTGTGATATTTTGTGATTTGTTCTGTGACACCATGTAATATTTTATGACTTGTCCTGTGACACTTTGGGACATTATTATTATTGTTACTTGCTACTGTATTTTAGGAATTTTCTTTCAGTTATTTAAAAAATGGAGGAAAAGGCCTCAGTGCCTACTGTTGAAAACATTATTGGATAAATTATATTGAATAAATTAAATTAATTAAATTGAATAAATTAAATTGAATTGAATAAACTAAATTGAATAAAGTAAATTGAATAAATTAAATTGAAAAAAATTAATTGAATAAGTTAAATTGAATGATTTAAATTGAATAAATTAAATTCAATAAATTAAATTCAATAAATTAAATTCAATAAATTAAATAAATTTATTTGAATAGATTAAATTGAATAATTGTAATTGAATAATTGTAATTGAATAAATGAAATTGAATAAATAAAATTTAATAAATGAAATTAAATGAGTTTAATTGAATAATGGAAGCAATCCAAAAAGAAATGCAGGCTTAAATCGGAGTCGATGGCCTCAATGGCGCATAACCACTTAAAACGTATCCTTATTTGTGTTGGAGGGGGTCGCTTCCAACACTAAAATTAAGAACGAAAAAGAAGAAGAAAAATTGAATAACTTAAATTGACTAAAGAAAATAGAATAAATAAAATAGAATAATTTAAATAAAATACAATACGATAAAATTAAATTAAATTAAAAAATAAAAATAAAATAAAATAAAATAAAATAAAATAAAATAAAATAAAATGAAATGAAATGAAATGAAATGAAATGAAATGAAATGAAATGAAATGAAATGAAATGAAATGAAATGAAATGAAATGAAATGAAATGAAATGAAATGAAATGAAATGAAATGAAATGAAATGAAATGAAATGAAATAAAATGAAATGAAATGAAATGAAATGAAATGAAATGAAATGAAATGAAATGAAATGAAATGAAATGAAATGAAATAAAATGAAGTGAAGTGAAGTGAAGTGAAGTACAGTACAGTACAGTACAGTACAGAACAGTATAGTAGAATGGAATAGAATGGAATAGAATGGAATAGAATGGAATAGAATGGAATAGAATAGAATAGAATAGAATAGAATAGAATAGAATAGAATAGAATAGAATAGAATAGAATAGAATAGAATAGAATAGAATAGAATAGAATAGAATAGAAATAAATAAATATATATATATATATATATATATATATATATTTATTTATTTATTTATTTATTCATATATATATATACATATATATATATATATATATATATATATATATATATATATATATATATATATATATATATATATATATGTACACATCTTAGTTTCAGTAGAATAGAATTATATTGCTTAATATCTTTAATATCTTAAAGTATAAAAGTCTAATTTCATTTCATACTGCATTATCATCGAGTATTGCGCTACATGCCAAGTTTGAAAGAAATCTGTTTGGTAAAAGTGGTAGAAATTTTGCTCAACACATGACAGCGGAATGAAAATATTAAGTACTAAATAAGTTCTGAAGATGAATCAAGCTAAATAAAAGCTTTTAATAATTAATTTTGTTTTGATGAGTATGGATAGATAAAGATTAATTGTTGTTTTTTTTTAAATGTTTTTTCTAGGTGCATGTCAAAAACGTTGGACGGATACAATCAATAGAGATCGGACACAACAACGCCGGTTATAAGCCCGGCTGGTTTCTCGATTATGTGAGTACACCCCCTCTGAAAAAGATAACTTACATAGACATTGTTGAACTGGAAAGGCGATGTCGTTAAACGGTTGTTGATGTTGAGAAAGAAATCAGTCACCCTGATTTTCTCAATTATAATAACAATAAAAAATATTGTAATCTACGTTAATTTTATTTATTTTCATTCAAATTTTCAAAAATGTTTAAAAACTTTTTTGCACCTTTGGATTCTCTTAGGTTGAGATCACTCAGAAAGTTGCAGCCGTTAGTGACACCGATATAGTAAGTTCCTTTTTTTAAAATGTTTAATTGTGTAAAATTATTTTTTTTGTTAATATTAAGTCAGTTTCATCGATTTAAAAATAATTAGCGCTAAACCACAGCGATTTGATATAAGTTATATCGTGAGGTTAAGCTGTATGTATCTTCTCTTTGGTGGTTCAGTTTGATTTCAATAATTTGTGTTTTTTCTTTAGTGCCTCAATCAGTTTGACGTAAATTATTTGTCTTTTCTTTAATGCCTCAATCAGTTTGATGTAAATCATTAGTATCTTTTCTTTAATGCCTCAATCAGACGTAAATTATGTCTTTTCTTTGTTGCTTCAATTTGACGTAAATCATTTGCGTCTTTTCTTTAATTATTCAATAAATCTGACGTAAATCATGTCTTTTCTTTGGTGCTTCAATTAGTTTGGCGTAAGTCATAAAAACGGATTACTAATGGGATTGGTCCCTTTGAGAGTCTATTGAGCATAGTCAAAAGAAGAAAATTGAGTCGGTATGGGCATGTCATAAGATCAAACATCCTACTACTATCCAAAACATTATTGCAAGGCACTGTGCCAGGAGGGAGAAGAGGGGGAAGGCAAAAGCGACATTGGATGGATGACATCAAGGATTTGACGGGGCTGGATGGATGACATCAAGTATTGGACGGGGCTGGATGGATGACATCAAGGATTTGACGGGGCTGGATGGATGACATCAAGTATTGGACGGGGCTGGATGGATGACATCAAGGATTTGACGGGGCTGGATGGATGACATCAAGGATTTGACGGGGCTGGATGGATGACATCAAGTATTGGACGGGGCTGGATGGATGACATCAAGGATTTGACGGGGCTGGATGGATGACATCAAGGATTTGACGGGGCTGGATGGATGACATCAAGGATTTGACGGGGCTAGATGGATGACATCAAGTATTGGACGGGGCTGGATGGATGACATCAAGGATTTGACGGGGCTGGATGTATGACATCAAGGATTTGACGGGGCTGGATGGATGACATCAAGGATTTGACGGGGCTGGATGGATGACATCAAGGATAGGACGGGGCTGGATGGATGACATCAAGGATTTGACGGGGCTGGAATGATGACATATTGGATGGGCTGGATGGATCACATCAAGGATTGGGGCTGGATGGATGGCATCAAGGATTTGACGGGGCTGGATGGATGACATCAAGGATTTGATGGGCTGGATGTATGACATCAAGGATTTGACGGGCTCGATGGATGACATCAATGATTTGACGGGGCTGGATGGATGACATCAAGGATTTGATGGGCTGGATGGATGACATCAAGGATTGGACGGGGCTGGATGGATGACATCAAGGATTTGACGGGGCTGGATGGATGACATCAAGGATTTGACGGGGCTGGATGTATGACATCAAGGATTTGACGGGGCTGGATGGATGACATCAAGGATTTGACGGGGCTGGATGTATGACATCAAGGATTTGACGGGGCTGGATGTATGACATCAAGGATTTGACGGGGCTGGATGGATGACATCAAGGATTTGACGGGGCTGGATGGATGACATCAAGGATTTGACGGGGCTGGATGGATGACATCAAGGATTGGACGGGGCTGGATGGATGACATCAAGGATTTGACGGGGCTGGATGGATGACATATTGGGTGGGCTGGATGGATCACATCAAGGATTTGACGGGGCTGGATGGATGACATCAAGGATTTGACGGGCTAGATGGATGACATCAAAGATTTGACGAGGCTGGATGGATGACATCAAGGATTTGACGGGCTCGATGGATGACATCAAGGATTTGACGGGGCTGACCGTCTCAGAACTAATAAAAGTAGTAGAGGACAGAGATGGATGGCGAAGAATTATGGAGTCAGCTGTGGTGCCCCAACGACCTTAATAAAGGTTAAGGGACGATGGTGATGATGATGTTGCTTCATTTAGCTGGACGGACATCATTAAAAAGCTAATGTTTTAGTCAACAGCAAGACGTCCATATATATGTGCGACGTACAATTTCTATAAGACGTTCATGTGACTAATGTCACCCTATATTTGTGTTATTTTTAAGACGTCAATGTGTCTATATGACATGCGTAGGTCTGTAAGACATCCATACGTTGAAGTCATTAGAACGTCCAATTGTATGTACTATTTCGGAAGATTCCTTTATTCTGCCTAAAAACTAAAATTTGTTCTCGATTTTCAGAGGAATGGCACTACTGACTACCGGTTTGAGCTGTACAACTGGATCTGCTGTCATTCCCTTATTAGGACCATACATGTTAAATGGGTTGATGTCCACCTGGACTAAACTTGCAATAAACTTGTGTAGAAAATGTTTGACGTTTAAATAAATAAAATTACATTTTTATGGATTCAATCAAATGAGCTGTTATAAAATGCAGTTTAATAGTATAATAAAATAAAAGTGTACTTCTTTTTCATTTTTAATTGAAATGGTGTGTAGGATTTCCTCCATTATTAAGTATTACTTTTCAACTTCTTATTCGCCACATTGGCAGTTGACTCTGATTTCAGCCTACTTTTCTTTCTAGATTTGCTTCCATAGCCATTGTTCATCCAAGAACTAAAATTACAATACAGCTGTTGTTTTTATTTTGGAGTTTTTTCTCCTAGATGGGTTGACGTCCCTAGCTATCGATCCACATCTGTTAATTCGGGAATATATGGGTTAGCAACCATGAGGTTTGCCCCTAAACCACGACGACCCACCTGTATATTTATAATATTAAAAAAAATTTAATACACTTTTATAAATCTTTTGTCGCTCATGAAATTTCTTACACGTTTTTACACAAAATATTTTATTAAACGGAGAAAGTTTCTTTAGTTTTTGTGCATTTAAAAACGTGTTAATGTATCGGTTAAAAAAAGTAAAGTACTCTTTCCAACATGACGGTCCACGGCCCATGGGGCAGGTAAAGTAGAGTCAATATGTTTTAGAGACCTCTGTAGATGAAGGAATGGTGAGGTCAGCACTATGCCTAGCCGCATTTACTTTCCATAACGTGAGTCAGGTACCCATCACACCTGGGTGGATTCAGGGACTTTCTACTTATACCAACCCGGGATTCGAACTCGATACATTCGGATTGGGCGGTCATACGCTATATTATTCTTCAAAATCGTCAGACAGGTTTTACGTTTATACTTGTAGATTTCTTTGATTTTCAACTTGTTAGTAAATGTGAATTTTCTTTACAAAAATAAAAACAGGTCGCTTTTTGAGCTTTTTAAAACTATTGGTACCATATTTCTTTTTTTTCCCATTCCGTTCGTTATTTAAAAAGTCGACACCCCACTTAACTAAAACATTTGCTTCAAACCTCCACCAATAGCTTGCTCTTTTTGTTATCATTAAACAACTATCTGCACCTTAATAACACCATTGGTAGCGCCTTAGGTGGGAAGACGTCCGTTTAACGCTGAATGTAGAAATATGAAAATTAATTTTTAATGATTATTTTAGTATCTCTCATATTAAGACAGTGAATTCATAATTTCGGGAATTTAAGGGAATGGAGGGGGTAGTTCATTTTTTAAAATGATTGCTAAGATTTTGAGATTTCTCCGTCGACAGTTAACGTTTATGTTTATTTTACCTAAGATTCTGTGTCGTTACACTTCATGTACAAATAAAGCGGTTACGTTTAAACTACTCACCATGGCAGAAAACAAAAATTGAGAACAAGTCCTATGCGAAAAATAAGACGTGGATAGTAGAGAATTATACTCTATAGACGTCAATAAAAAAACTTGGCGATAGCTTCAGTAAACAACGAAAGGCTATGATTTTTTAAGTCGACTCTTCAGGCTACGTTGTGTGATATCTTAAAAACCCTAGAAACTTGGACGCTTTGGCAGCTGTGTAACATGATCAGCATCCACCCCCCAAAAATAACACATATATATATATATATATATATATATATATATATATATATATATATATATATATATATATATATATATATATATATACATATATACATATATATATATATGTGTATATATACATAGGCCTATATATAGTTGCAATCGGTGTCCCCTACCATTTTGCCTAATGGTGTCAATTTGTGCGCACATTATATTAATCCACCAATGCATACATGAGGAAAAAGCATCGTTTTCATCGTAAATTATTAGATTTCGGTGTCACCTATTACCCGGTCGTTTATTGACTTATCAGTTATTCAAAATCCTCAACAAAACATTTTTTTCCTCTGTAAAGTTTGTAGTTTGTGTTACATCACATTCTAATTATTGTACTTCATGTGTCTCAATGTAAAAGCATTTTGTAAATATCTGAATCATGTTACAAAGTTACACCAGACACACCTGTTTGGTGAAGGCCTACCTGTTTTATTTGCCTATTTGTCGGGAGCCTATATGACGGGGTACATGTATCGCTGATGGGGTGGTTTTGACGGGGATCTTACGTCGGGGCCGATTCGTCAGGGTCGTTTTGTTATTGGCCGTTTTGCCGCCGCACGGTTTTATTGAACTAGTCCAAACTTAGTGTAATGCAGAAATTTGATCTAGAACAGACTTAACATTTTGCAATCAAATTTGCCCAGTTTGACAAGTCAATTCAAATTTAGTATGTCTAAGCGGGTTAGAAATAAATTAAACCGTTCTAATTTGAGTATTCTAGCCGGGGGTCGGATGAAATGGAAGGAAATGGTTGAGGCCATAAGGAACAGAGGACAAAGTCAAAGTAAGTCAATTAGAGTATTCTGGTTGAACCAAACAGTTGATTTATATCCGATTTCTGCTTTGAGTTGATCTGCTTACACATCTCTTAAATCCAAAGGAGATTAGCCAATTATTTTTTTAATGAACATGTGACGAGGTAGAATTTACTAGTAAGCTGTTGGTAGAGGTTGTAGTTGGAGGTTGTATTGGAGGTTGTGGAGGAATATAATAGGGGTAGGTTGTAGTGGTGGGTTGTAATGGGAAATTGTTATTATATGTTGCAATGGTAGTTTCTAGTGGTAGGCTGTAGTGGTAGGTTGTAGTGGTAGGTTATAGTGGTAGGTTGTAGTGGTAGGTTGTAGTTGTAGGTTGTAGTGGTAGGTTGTAGTAGTAGATTGCAGTAATACGTTGTAGTAGAAGGTTATAGTTAGGGTATGTGGTGGGATATCGTAATGGTAAGTTGTATTGGAAGATTGTAGTAGTAGGTTGTAGTGGTGAGTTTCATTGGTAGGTTGTAGTGGTAGGTTGTAGTGGTAGGTTGTATTGGCAGCTTGTTGTTGGTTGTAATGATAGGTTGTAGTTGAAGATTATACGATTATAATGGTTGATTTTATTGGTAGGTTTTAGTGGTAGGTTGTAGTGGTAGATTGTAGTGGTAGGTTGTAGGGGTAGTTTGTAGTGTTAGGTTGTAGTTTTAGGTTGTAGATTTTGAGTTGATCTGCTTACACATCTCTTAAATCCAAAGGAGATAAGCCAATTATTTTTTTAATGAACATGTGACGAGGTAGAATGTACTAGTAGGTTGTTGGTAGAGGTTGTAGTTGGAGGTTGTATTGGAAGTTGTGGATGGATATATTGCTAGGTTGTAGTGGTGAGTTGTAGTGTTAGGTTGTAGTGGTACATTTAAGTGGTAGCCTGTTACGATAGGTTGTGGTTGTAAATTGTAGAGGTAGGCTGATCAAGTTGTAGGTTGTAGATGTAGGTTGTAGTGGTAGGTTGTAGGTTGTAGTGGTAGGTTGTAGGTTGTAGGTTGTAGTGGTAGATTGCAGTAGTAAGTTGTAGTGGTAGGTTGTATTGGTAGGTTGTAGTGGTAGGTTGTAGTTGTAGGTTGTAGTTGTAGGTTGTAGTTGTAGGTTGTAGTTGTAGGTTGTATTTGTAGATTGCACTTGTACGTTGTAGTAGAATGTTATAGTTAGGGTGTGTGGTGGGATATCGTAATGGTAAGTTGTATTGGTAGCTTGTAGTAGTAGGTTGTAGTGGTGAGTTTTATTGGTAGCTTGTAGTGGTAGGTTGTAGTGGTAGGTAGAAGTAGTAGGTTGTAGTGGTAGGTTGTAGTGGTAGGTTGTAGTGGTAGGTTGTAGTGGTAGGTTGTATTAGTAGATTGTAGTGGTAGGTTGTTGTGGTAGGTTGTATTAGTAGATTGTAGTGGTAGGTTGTAGTGGTAGGTTGTAGTGGTAGGTTGTATTAGTAGATTTTAGTGGTAGGTTGTTGTGGTAGGTTGTATTAGTAGATTGTAGTGGTAGGTTGTAGTGGTAGGTTGTATTAGTAGATTGCAGTAGTAGGTTGTATTGGTAGGTTGTAGTGGTAGGTTGTAGTGGTAGGTTGTAGAGGTAGGTTGTAGTGATAGGTTGTATTAGTAGATTGTAGTGGTAGGTTGAAGATATTTTTGGTTCAGTAAAGGCTGTTGGGCATGTTGCAAGAAACGAATCAATCAATGACATTATATGTTTTAACTTAACGTTACGTCATACAACAAATAGTTGAAACGTTGTTTAACTAACCAAATATAAACAAAATCAAAATAAAATAAAAGCTAACTTTAAAAGTTAAAAAAAAACCAACAGTATAGCAGTAATACAAGCATAAATAGATACACTGGAGTGTATCATCAACCTTTAGCTTAACAGCTGTTCCCTATAGAACTTAAATTAGTCTGTCAGATTAGCAGGTTCACATTAGTTGTTCTACTAGTCGTTGCAGGCAGAACATCAGAAGATGAGTTCTCTAACGGTGTTTGGTTTGCTGTGTCTTGCGATGTCAATCCAACCAGGTATTTTGGTCGAGGTTTAAATTTTACTAACCTGTTCGTCTGTAATGGGTAATTCAACACAAACCATCTCTCCCTCTCTCTTTCTCCCTCTATCTCTCTCGCTCTCTTTCTTTTTCCTACTCTCTCTCTCTCTCTCTCTCTCTCTCTAAACACACACACACACATATATATATATATATATATATATATATATATATATATATATATATATATATATATATATCGAATTTCTATTTCCAGGATTTGCGGATCTTGTCGAATACAAGATAGTTGTAAAAACAGGTGATAAACTGGGAGCAGGAACTGGCTCTAATGTTTTCATCAGTTTGTTTGGTTCAAGAGGAACAACAGGCAGGATTCCACTTGCACATCAGCATAAGAACAGCTTTCAGAGGGGAGTTCAGGATGAGTTTAATGTAAGCATGATTTGCCTGTCTGTAGCACTTTGTGACACGTTCTTCAATATATGTCTTGAGTTTATTAACATTCCCGAGTGGCCAGATGTCGGAATGTTGAGTAGCGTTAAAAACCACAGTAAACAAAATGACCAACTCTACGAGCACAGAAGACAAAATCTCAATTGTAAAATACAAAAGATCAACTTTACAATTAATTCAGGTATAAATGCAACAGCACTCTCCTATGCGTTAAGCCACGTAAGATATCGTTCCTAAATGTTTCTTCAGGTGTCTTACTTCAACGTTGGACGAGTTCACTCTATTGAAATTGGACATGACAACGTTGGATTGCTGTCAGGCTGGTTTCTTGATCATGTGAGTAAACTACGTAAAAATATATATATATATTGTCCAAGGCTTGTTTAAGAGCTACGATGGGACATTAGTTTGTATTTGTTTCTTTTGTTTTTAGGGTCTTTTTAGGTTTGCAGTTATAAAACTTATTTCTGTAATTTCTTTTCCTAGGTCATCGTGACCCAAGCAGTGGCAGCAGTGGACGAGCATAATGTGGTAAGCTATTTATAGCAACGTTATTTTAATCAATTTAACTTAGACTGAGGACGGTGTGGTGTGGTGGAGAGATCACGTGCAGGTGAAAGTCTCGAGTTCGATTCTAGTGATTACAGTGGGTACCTGACTTGTGTAGGTATCTGATTCTAAAATGATCAGTATAATGGTCTAAAAAGTTAGTGTTTTGAGTCTCGGGACAGTAAGACGATTTTATAGCCCTGTTTATTGAAATAAATGCAGCAGTTTAAAATCTCCTGACACTCTCTCTCTCTCTCTCTCATGCCACAGAAACCAGGCTCCACAACCTACAGGTTTGACTACAACAACTGGATCTCTAAACACGAAGGAGACGGTTCACTTGTCAAGACCATAAAAGTCGCATCGACAGACGTCAAACCGGCTTAAAGCAATATTCAGGCACAAATTCCCTGCAATGGAATATTTGGATTTAAAATTAAAAGAAAATCTAAATTATTAATCTATGATTTTAAAACATGCTTCTTTTTAAAATGCATTTTAAATGAAAATATTAGAATTAAAACGTTGAAAAGAAAACATTTAGTTTTGGGATTAATAATTACAATAAAATAAAGTAATATCAAATATTTGAATTGTGTTCTTTTATTATCTGCTATCGAGCCTGCTCTACGGATTTTGTTGTCAGATAACAAGATTAGGACTTATAAATCAAATACCGACAGCGTCCTCACTACTAGGCCTAAAATCTATCACAAAATCCCACGGACCTAGAAGTCCACTCCTGCAATTACACCCCCACAATTACAACTCCTACTACACCCCCACCCCAATGAACCCAGATGCCAACTCCTACAACTACACCCCCACCCAAATGAACCCAGATGTCAACTCCTACAACTACACCCCCACCCCAATGAACCCAGATGTCAACTCCTACAACTACACCCCCAACCAAATAGACCCAGATGGCAACTTCTACAACTACACCCCACCTCCATGGACCCAGATGTCAACTCCTACAGCTACATCCCCACACCTCATGGACACAAATGTCTTCTCATACAATTAAACCTCCACCTCTTGTCAAATGTATGTCGAAATTCTCATCATGTCTAACCTATGTCCGAGTTCTCATCCTGTCTATGGAGTGTCACAATTCTCATTCTGTCTAATGTATGTCAAAAATCTCATCTTGTCTAAGGAGTGTTACAATTCTCATCCTGTCTATGTCAAAATTCTTATTATGTCTAATAAGTGACATAATTCTCATCCTGTCTAATAAATGTTAAAATTCCCATTCAGACTACTAAGTGACAAAATTCTCATGCTGTCTAAGGAGTGTCTTAGCAAACTATTGCCGCTGAATTGTATTATTAAATAACCACAACGAAAGTTATTCCAAACATTAAAAATGTTATCAATACTTTTTTATAACCTGTAAGTATATATTGTCATATATAGTTGGCCTAAAATCAATTTATTATTTGACCTTTTTAACCCGAATAAAGCGATATGCATTGCACCTGAATCTTGTATAAACTAATACTAACCCAAAATGAAACACAAATCACAATTATTTAACCCATATAATATATAGGCCCCACTTAATATCCGCCCATTCTCCCAAGCCACACACTCTACGATACTACTGTCGCCGTCTTCAAACCTAAAAGTCCCACCTCCTATTAGGATGAACTACAATTCCATTATCATGTAATTAGCGACGGTATGAAAGATTTTCATGACTGTCAACACGAAAGTTTCGAGTTCGAATCCAAGGCTCGAGTCGGTAAGAAGTCCCCGATTTCACCCATCATTAATTTGTACCTGACTTTCGTTAAAGAACCTATGGTACCTGAGTATAGTGCTGCCCACAATATCCCCCTGTACGTCGATAACATTGAAACAGAAGAGTTCAACTTCATCTGACCTTATGTCTTGGGCACGAACGAGGACAGACGATCATCGTATAGCCAGAAAAAGAGAAACAATTCTTTTACTTATTTCTAAATAGTGTGTACAGTTAAATGGAAAACGCAAAACAAGATAAAGTTTAAATAAAAACTTTAAATAAAAAGATGCTTTAATTTTTACCTGTTGTTAACAGAAAATCTACAACGTTCGTCAACTCGAGCTGCCCCTTTTTGTTCGCTACCAACTAGTTAATTCCCCCTTTCTCTACAGCCCCCCCCCCCCCCCACGAACGAAATGGAATTTATTTAGAAAATATATACTTTAAATAGTGTCTGCCCCCTTACCCCGGAAATTTCAACTGCCCCCCCCCCCCCCCCGGAGAAAAAAGTCTGCTAATAAAGGGAAGATAATTTGTCTGTTAGAGATAGCACACTATGTGTCGGGTTTAAAGCAAATAAATATTTCTAATCGTATCCTATGTTGTATCAACTTCCTCAGGAATCTCATTAAAAAAATATTTAAGAAACTTTAAAATAGGAAGCTTTTAAATGCACTGAAAATAAGAAAAGAAAATTAACATTCTTTCCTTCATAAAAGCGTTGGCCGCTCGTGCAATCTTCTATATATTTTGGCGAACTGATTATGTTCAAATTATTGTGTAAATCACATACAGGTGTATACTACATACAAATTTTCTTCGATTCCTTTAATAGTTTATTTATTTATTTATCTATAAAATATAATACTCCTGTTGTGCAAAAAATCGTCGTCTATCTAATCTAGATCTATTTTGGTTCACTCTTATACATCTCTATCTTAGACCGGCCTATTTTAATCAATCTTTATTTCGGATCGTTCTGTCCTATCTAAGCTATATTTGTCTTGGCCCGGTCTGACCAATCTATCTTTTTACACCCCCCCCCAGCTAATGCTGATTAGCTGCCTCGGATTTTAAAAAAAAAAATCTTCTGTTCCGCATTGCCAAACACAAGCAACACTCAACATTGAAAGATCAAACATTAAAAAGCAATATATTTAACACATACATTTAAACAAAACATTCGCAGAAAAAAAATTAAAACTTGTTTAAAACTTTATTTTACTTTTGAAACTTTTTTTTTAATACTTTTCTTTTTTTAATAATAATTTTATTTATTTCTAACATTTTATTATAATCCATACTTAAAACATTCTAAACTACCATTTATGGTATAGACATCTCCATCTGAATCACAATTTTTAGTTGTATTTCTGTACATTATGTATGTCTAGACGTGTTTGGGTTAGGTCCATGCATTAACCACACTCTCGACGTCTATGCAATAACCATACTCTTGACTCAGGGTCTAGGATAGGGTTATGTCTATCGTTGTTACAGGTATCTCTCTGACAGGTGGCTTGTCAACCAGAGCTGCATCGACCCACTCGTAATAGTCAAATCGGCTGTTTACATGGATCGTCTGCGGGTCCAAAAAAAAATTAACTGGACCAATTGTTTTAATCAGAGCTATTTCATAAATTCCCACGGAAAATGGACTTATCAAAAGCTACTGAAAAGAAATATTAGGACGGCAATAGAAACCAGATATATGGACGCCATATAAAACAGACATATGGACGGCCATACAAAACAGACATATGGACGGCCATACAAAACAGAAATATGGACGGCCATAGAAAAAAAGGCATATTTACATTTTAAAAAATAGACATGGACGGCCATAAAAATTTTGATGTTTTTAAGACCATACAAAGCGAACATTGAAAACACACATATGGATAGACGGCCGAAGAAAAAAAGACATGGACGGTCTTAGAAAAAGAACTTATTACGGAAATTTGGACGGCAACAGAAAACAGAGATAAAGACGGCCATAGAAATCAAATGGATTTGCTTATTCCATACAGCAATTGTCCCAATTGACCTATGACCTAATGTAAAAGAAATCATTGGCCTGTGACCAAATGTAAAAGGGTTTGTGACCTAATTTTAAAAACATAATTGGCATGTGAAATTATGTAAAAGACTTCATTGGCCTGTGACCTAATGGAAAAGACTTTAAATGACCTAATGGAAAAGACTTTAAATGACCTAATGGAAAAGACTTTAAATGACCTAATGGAAAAGACTTTAAATGACCTAATGGAAAAGACTTTAAATGACCTAATGTAAAAGACTTTAAATGACCTAATGTAAAAGACTTTAAATGACCTAATGGAGAAGATTACATTAGCCTGTCACCAGTGTTTCTTCCAGGGATCTCCAGTCTACCGCCCCCCCCCCCTCTCCCGAACAAAATGGAATTTCTATAGAAAATATATACTTTTAATTTTAACAGTATCCACCCCCCCCCCCCCCCCACGAAGAGAATCTACCGCCCCCTCCCCCCCCTGAAAGAAATGGAATTTATTTAGAAAATATACACTTTTAATATTAACATGTCCGCCCTCCTCCACCCACCCCCCCCCCCCCCTCCCCCGAAATTTTAGTTCACCCGTCCCCGGTCCAGGAGAAAATAGTCTGGAAGAAACACTTTCTGTGACCTAATGTAAAAAGACATGATTGGCCTGTGACCTAGCATAAAACATCAGGGGCCCAACATAGAATGTAAAATGTAGAAAAGTAGACAAACACTTGGCTAAGTTAAACAAATAAAAGTATCGTCCTTAAAATGTTTGCGTTGACCAACTGAAGCTTTAAATAACGTACATCGCTGCT